TTCATTACCGAATTCATTATTATACCGGGAGTCATGACCACAGTGAGATGGTGCAAGATTCCATGAATGAGAGGTGTTATTCAACAACTGATAGAGACTACTGTCATCAAACTACCATCTCATATCAAAATAGTCTTCCTGTATGAGATATGGTTGAACAAGACTGTCAGAAGATCTCCAAATTTGAAGAAAATAATTTATATTGATCACAGAAGAGGGGGAAATTGTGATATTAATGTTTTTCTTTTCTATTAAAGCTATAATTTAATACACAAACATGTTTTGGATGTCCCTTTTCCTGTGTCCTCTCCAATTTTAAATTAGCATAGATTGTAACCCCTGACTCCTCCTAGCTGAGCAAGGGACAGTATGCTTTAGGGATAAAAGCAGGCAGACGGCCCACCCAGGTGTGCTTGCTCACTGGATTCCCTTTGGGGGCGCACCCTTCTGCAGAAATACAGTTTTGCCTGGCAGACCCACTTCCAAGCACGTATTTGATTTCTTGTGGCATCTTGGTATTTCTAACAAATGATTGCATGGGGACATGATCCATTGCAAAGAATCTGCAGGCACAAAAGCCTGCAGCTATTTGGAGAAAGAGTTTCCCAAGTAGATGCAGAAGAAAGTGCAAAGGTCCTGAGGCTGACTATTGCTAGAGTGGGGAGGGAGAGAGCCCATGGGATCTGGTTGCACAGGGGCCTTATGAACCCTCACCAGGGCTTTCAGCCTTACTCCAGGGTACCATCGGACTTCTCTCTTTCAAGGGCTGTTGGAGGGCTGTGTTTGTTGCTGAAAGTCTGTGGCTGGGGTGCATCCTGGTGAGCACTGAACTCATTCATCCTGATGGGAAGTGGTTTCGACAGAGAGTGCGGAGATGGACACTGTGCCACTCTTCCAGTCACTTTCTCCCTTAGGACCTCAGGTCCTCAGTGGAGGGCTGCATGTTGGTGACCTGAAAGCAGGGGCCAGCTGCTCTTGGTAGCCCTTTACAGCCCTTACCTGTAGAGCACCTGCTCCACCTGGGCTGTGACATCAGGGAGCAGCAAGGGACAATGAGACCCGAGACCCTGTGGCTCCTCTGAGCATGGCAGGGGTGGTGTGGTGTGGGGCGAAGGAGGCGGGTAGCTTTGTAGTGTGGTGGGGAAGGTGGGCTCGCTGCAAACCGGGGGACACGGTAGGTGCTGTGTCCATGATCCAAGATGGCTCAGTGGCTAACAGCTATGGCGTGCTGCTCCACAGGGCAACGTGAGATTGTGGGGTCCCCACCTGACACCTAAAGGGGGGCTTCCATCACTGGGCCTTCTGGGTTCCAGTGGCTGGAAGCCCAAGCTGCCACTTCCTCACCCCATAGAGGCTCCTGGTCCTTCTCACTCCCTCAGCTCATCTGCCCCATCTGTCAGGTCTCCTGGCTCCTGGGCTCAGAAATCAGAGACCCCAGGGAGGCGGGAGGGCCCTGGCTGCCTCTTGGTCTCCCTCCAGCTTCTCAGCACATGTGGGTAGAAACCACTTTAGGAAAGGACAAGCCCAGCCGGGAGCCCCGCTCAGCTATAGGACAGAGGCAGCCCCAGGAGGGTCTCAGCCTCCTGCCTTGGGAAGGGGGAGGGACCTAAACTCTGCCCACAGGCCACCCTGTGGGCAGCGGGGTGGCAGAGACAGAAAGAAGAGCTGCCTGAGCAGGCAGGTGGGAGGCGGGCAGCGGAATGGCCCAGCTTCAGGGTGGGGGAAGCCCTGAATGGCCCCTTCCCCTTGAAGGCCTCCCACTGGGATTCCAGGGAGTGGCCTCGCCTTGGTGCTTGTGTCACTGGGCTCTGTTACTGGGGAAGGTGCTTCAAAATCTTTCTTCCTGTTGTTCTCTTTTGTTTATTTATCTTTTTGGTATTGATTATTGAACACAAGGGTGCTTAACCACTGAGTCACATTCCCAGCCCTGTTTTTTTTTGTTGTTTTTAAAGAGAGAGTGAGAGACAGAGAGAGAGAGATAGTGAGACAGAATTTTTTTTTTAATATATATTTTTCAGTTTTCGGCGGACACAACATCTTTGTTTGTATGTGGTGCTGAGGATCGAACCCGGGCCGCACGCATGCCAGACGAGCGCGCTACCGCTTGAGCCACATCCCCAGGCCCCTGTTTGTTTTTTTTTTAATTTTTTTTATTTTGAGACAGGGCCTCGCTAAGTTGCTCAGGGCCTCGCTGAGCTGCTGAGGCTGGCCTAGAACTTGTGATCCTGCTGCCTCAGCCTGAGTTGCTGGGATTCCAGGCATGAGCCACCATGCCCGGCTTCCTTCTGTTCACTGTGTCAGTGAAGAGGAATCTGGGCTGTGGGGCTCTGTCTGACCTGCCTTGAAACATGCTCTGAGCAGTAGGAGGGAGGGGCAGCAGTGAGGGCTGCTGCCCAAGGGCTGTGCTCCCCAGAGCTCTCCTCTCCACACAGAGGAGGCCTCTCTAACAGAGCCTTACTAAGGGGCAGTGGGACAGGAGGGGTGCCTGGTGATGAGCCCAAGGCACCATGTGGTGGCAGGTGGCAGCGGTCCAATTGTGTTTGCCCTGCATGCCCAGGACCACCCATCCTTTCTGACCCACTGATGGCACCCATTTCCCACTTAGAACACCTACCTGGGCTGGCTTTGAAAGGACAGCTAGGCTCTCTCCACTTCCTTCTCCCTGGGGTTCCCTGAACAAGAAGTTCCCAACCCCTGTCTTGGGATTTTACTGCTGACCACCATGGAGAAAAGAGGTGGTCACCAAAATAACAAAAATGGGCTTCCCAAGCCATGCAGTTGGGAAAATCATCCAAGGGGGATGCTCAGGTGATCCAAGAGCTTGATGACTCTCCGTGGCCTCGGGACCAACTGACTGGGAAGCCTCTGCTCTCATTCCCACACAGCCCTGGAAAGTCCCTCCTGTGCTCCGCGAGTCTTCTCAGTCTCAGTCGCTGGCTGACCTGCTTGCCTTTGGCATTTCGGCTTAGGCACCACCTCTCTGAGACTGCCTCTGCCATCTGGCTAGATGCTTTTCTGTAGGTCTCCATAGCAACGTGTGCGAGTGTACCATCTGATCCAGGTCTCAGACCAGGCCCTTGCCTCTGTGTGGGAAGGAGTCCTCCACCACTTCCTGCTGTCAGGCACGCATTGCTAACCTATCACCGCACTCTTCTTTGATGATCCCAAACCCAACTTCAGAATCATGGTCAGCTCAGTACTCCAGGATTAGTCTTAGGCTCCCTAGCACGTGTGCTCCCTATTCTCCTGTCACCTGATACTTTTCAACTGTCATACTGACAGCAGGAGAAGAAAACACTGTGGGCCTGCCTTGCAGAGATGTGCTTTGTGACTTTTATCTGGATGCAGCCAGAGGCAGATGTCCAGTCCTGAATCCAAATGGTGGCTGACATAAACCTGGGTTCAAGATATCCTTCTAGAATGTAACATGGAGACTAGGGATTGATAGCACATGGCGAGAAGTCAAGGTCCTTCTGCCAGGGAGGGCCTTGCTCACCCTCATGGTGTAATAGATGACCCTGCAAAGCCAGCTGCTTCTCCCTTGGGACTCCTCACCCATAGAGTGTGTCTCAATACAAATGCAATGCAAGCAATCTTCTTGATAGATGGCTGGGGATTGTCAGAGACTGGGGGTACAGACTGGGGGATCTTGCAAAGTGAGGTGGTATTGACATCACCAACCCCAAGGAGAGGGATTGTGTGCAAGGCAGCAAAGCTTGGAGGCAGGTTTTGTGAGTTTTCGAGGCTCCTAGCGTCACACAGTGTGAATGCCAAGAGCAAGAAATCAAAGCCGTGTGAAATGTTTGGAGGTGGTTCAGTGTGAGGTCATGTGTTTCTCAGCCCCTGTGTGATGGAATTACCGTGAGACCTAGAAGGTGGTGGCCGAAGCCAGAATGGGCCCATGGTCTCTGTAGAATGACCCTTCATGCCTTCTACTCTCCAGTCAGGTCATCAAAAATGTCATCTCTTTCCTCTGAGCCTAGGGTATGCACACAAGGGCAACCAGAGAAGGTCCTGCCAGGACCTGTCATCCCAAAGAGATGCTTTGCCCCTTGGCACCATGTCCCTTATTTGCCCAGCAACCCACATCCTGCTTCCCACAGGTTAATTCAAACTCTCCAAGATGAAAATCCAACTCGTTTTCAGGGAGCACTTGGGAGTCTTCGAGGCTCACCTAGAAGGAAGTTGGAATTGGTATCTCTAATGTCAGAGCTTTTGCCGTTGGCTGGGCCGGGGCCAGGTTGTTCATACGGCAATCAATCAAACACACCTCAATTGTTCCTACAGATTAGCCACTGACTTAACAAAGTCCTGTCCCTCCTTCACATTGATTTATGGTAGCCATAGAAATATACCACCTGGGGGACACGCCTCATTCATCCAGGAACCTATAAATATCAAGGAATTTCCAATCAAGTTGAGAGGGACCCAGCAAAATGGGGATCTTCACTGTCATCCTCCAACTTTGTCTTTTGTGGGGTCCAGTTCTATCTGCAGGTATTCTGTTTAATTGTTATATTCTTTGATTGTACTCTTGCAACCCCAAATCCTGCCAAGTCAGATCTACTCTTTTAGTAGATCAAGGGACTTCATCCCTTGGGGATTTTTGTACTGGGGAGAAGGTGGCTCTTTGATGATCATAGTCAACGTTTGCCAGTGTTTAGGAGGAATCCTTCTTTTTTGTTTTGTTTGTGGTTAGGAAATTCAAATGGTTGTTGTAGTTAGAAAATGCCAATCATATGTTAATGTTTTCAGTGAGTTTTTTGATGGGGAAGTGACTGGTTGAGCTTAGGAAAGTCCCTAAAGTTTAGGAGAGGGGTGTGTGTGTGTGTGTGTGTGAGAGAGAGAGAGAGAGAGAGAGAGAGAGAGAGAGTGTAAGAGGCCCTAAAGCTTCACCACATGGGGTAAACAGTTTGTATGCAATGAAAACAGGCAGGAAAGATTCTCCTGGAGATGCTCCTGTGTGACTTCTCTTTGCGGGTGCGTCAGGTGTGATGACCTGTATCAGCTGAGCCAAATCGGGTCAAGGAATGATATGCCAAGGTTCCAAGGCTGTGTCGACCACCAGCTGCTCAAACAGCCGGGCTGAAGCCCAGCTACTTGAGCACAACTTTGAGTCTCAGAGTGTCAGATGATCGACAGGGCCACCGGCCGGTCATGGTGATGGTTGAATCTCGGTGTCATTTTGCGGAGATGCTGTGAGAGCAAGAACCGACACCTGTCTGCTTGCTGTCTTCCTGCCTCTCTTTCCTCTGTCCCCCTGTCAGTCTGACTGGCCTCTCTTCCTCTTTCCCCTCTCTCTCTGACCTCTGGCACCTCATCTCCTTACCTCTCTTCCTCTGCCCCTCCCTCTTTCTTCCTTCATCTCTTCCTCCTCCTCCTCTTCTATCCCCCTCCCATTCTCTTTCCTTCGATGAATTTGCCGGATTCATGGATTCCAGGAGGCGACGTAAAGATCACAGATAACCCAGAACTCTGGCCAGCCCAGGCTTGGTGGGGGGAGCTCTGAAGCTGAAGGTTCATTTGGGAGATGGCATTCGTGAAAGCAGCACCCCAAAGTCAAGCCTCAGGGCCCACAAGGTGTGGTGAGTGTGCACATGTGGTGGGCAACTGACTGGGGACAGCCACTGTCCTCTCTTGTCAGGAGGCCTCAGGTCCTGCCTTGGGGTGTCTCCTTTGATCACATAAGAAAATGGGAGGCTGGGCCTCAGTCCCTGACTTCATGGGGACAGAGTTGCACTGGCTCTGAATGGAGGCATGGAGTCAGTCAGCCCTGGAGGACAGGGAGCCAGGTGCCCCATCCTTATCTAAAAAGGGACAAAAGGCAGCAGTGCTCAGGGACCGGGGGGGGAACTGGTCATCATCCATCCACAGTGCGTGCCCGTGCTTGTGTGCAGAGGCGGGAGTCACCCTCTACCAAGGGTGTCTTGCTTCTCCAATTTCACCCTGCTAACCACCACAAAGTTGATGCCATTATCTCCACACTTCAAACAGGGAAACTGAGGCTCAGAAAGGTTATGTGGCTTGTCCAAGGGCCGCAGCTGGTAGGAGATGGGGCCAGGGTGTGAACCTGAGCCAGGTCTGCTAGCCTTTGGGCAGCAGTGTGGCCACAGCCCTCACTGCTCCTTGTAGGGAGCAGAGATGAACAGGGGCCTCTGCTCAGCCCTGGGGCCCTGCCATGGCACGTCCCCTTCTCAGCTCTGTCTCTGTACAAACTCTTGAAGAACAGGCAGGGTATGGAGGCTTGGGCTGGGTGGAAGTGGCCGTGGCCCCCAGTGTTGGTCCCAGTGATGTCCTTGACTCTGTCACTGACCTGTGTGGGGCCGCTGCTAGCCTCAGCTTCCTCATTTGTAGGTGGGGTTATGTTCCTGTTCTACACAGGGTGTGAGGAATGAGGGGCCCCCGGCAGGGTCTGGCACATAGGGGCAGCCACAGACCATGTCGGTCAGCGGTCCCGTTCCAGGCGTCTCCTGACATTTTATCCAAATGTAATTTCCAACATGCAATGTGGGTCTTGGATTGGCTCCTGGAAAAGGAAACTGGAGGGACCCAAGTAAGGTCTGCAGTGTCGTCGGTGGACGTGTGCAGCGCGAGGAGCTGTGAACTTGAGATGTCATCGAGGGGGTTGGGCCACATGGGACTCTCCGTAGTACCTTTGCCATTTGTCTTTAAGTCTTGAATTTGTCCAGACATTTTTGCCTTCACTTCCTTTAGTCCCATCTCTTCCAGTCCAATGCTTTGCAAAACAAGAAGGTAGTCTCTGCTCCTAAGCGCGTTCCTGGCAGTCACCTTCCCACTCGGCCTTTCTGCACTGCGGCTGGATCACAGCCCTTACTAGTGCCTTAAAAAGACGGGAGATCTAGTGGAGAGACCTCAGGCGCTGTGAAGATATTTTTAACATAGGTGACGTTTGGATGGGGGACTTTTGAGTCACTTAAATAACGGTCCAGTCTAGTCACTCTTCGGTACAGTTCTTTAATCTTCTTAAATGTGCAAACACACCACCAGGTGTGATGAAACTCAGCCGCTGCAGCTGCCAAACGCTGCCGAATGAGAACAAAGCCCGAGGCTTCACCTTGGGGTCCAGAGCAAGCGCAGCAGCCTGGTGCCCAGCATCCTGGACCCCACAGTCTTCTGTGGATTTTCAGGTCCTCACGCCCGGCTTGCCAACACCGTGGGTCGGTCCCCCACAGGTTCCTGCTGGTTTCTGCCTCCACCTTCTTGTTTTTCTGGACAGTTTGCTGCTGCTCTCTCCCACCACGAACACCCCACTGCCGCCTCCCACACTCTAACCCTCGGCCTCCAGCCAGCGGGCCTCCAGCCACGGCCTCCCCGCTGGCTGCTGTCAGCACCTGAGCAGTCTCAGTCTTGCCCTCCTCTCCTCCACGCCCCACCAGGCTACATCTAACTTCTCTTTTTCAGGCCACAGACCTTGTCTTTCCCTGAAATAAGCTGCACACATGAAGACAGACACACAGACAAAATCATTTGTACACACACTCTCACCTACAAACAGATACATCTGTGGACACACAGACACAACTTCACATCACAGATAATAGACACACAACGATACACACAGGCACACAAGCAGACACATACACACACTCACGTATATCTCACACTCACAAAGCATCTCACATACATGCTTACACACACAGACGTACAGACACAGGGGTACAAGCAACAAACAGGGTTGGGCCACATGGATAAAAACACAGCAATGGGTCCATGGGCACCTGGGTGCCACCCACATCCTCCCACAGCATCTTGGCTGGCAGTGCTTCTTGCACTAGACAAGATGTTTCTAGGGATGGTGCTATGCAGGAAGTCCCTGGAGGATTGGGACCATGCCTTGCCCACTCAGTGCCTAGCCCAGCTCCTAACAGGGTGCCTGGCTGAATGCTCCAGTGCCAGGCCTTGGCAGGGCGTGCCTGGGACCCCCCAACTTTATGCCTCCTGCTTTGAAATACCAAAATCCCCGGCTGCTCGATTCCCTTACCCAAGATTTGCAGTATTTGTTCCTGACCTACCCCTCCTCCTGCACACCATGAACCACCTCTAGGTGACTACGTACTGTGTGCAGTATAAACGCTTATAAATCGTTGTCACCCTATACTGTTCAGGGAATAACAACAAGGAAAAAAGCCTTTGCGTTCTCAGTACAGATGCACTTTCCCCCAAGCGTGTTTGATCCACTCTGTTGAATTTGTGGAAGCGGAACCCAGGGGTACATTCTGCTCTTTCAGAGGGTTCTGTCTTTACGACGAATTAAAATGGACCCTCTTTGCCTTAACTTGGCTTTGGGCGGGGGAGAGAGCAGAGTTGTCTAACACACCTGCTCAGGTCAACGTGCTGGACCCTGATGTCAGCTGACCATTGTGCCAGTTGCTGTCTCTGCTTCAGAGTCAACTGTATGGCTTCACAGGAGGAGTTGTTCAGGGTCCCTGTGGGTGAAACACAAACACATCTCAGTTTTCTTTTGTTTCATTACAGGTACGGAATCAGATGTTTTGACACCTGGTAAGTACTTTGAAAAGAATGTTCTATATTAGATGGTAGTGTTTTCCACCCTATTTACCTATTTTTGTCTTTCAAATAAAAGTCACCTCACTAAAGGTGTGATTTGGTCCTACAGAAACGCAGAGGCAATAGAGACCTCCTTCAGCCATAGCATAAAAGGACCTCGTGGGATGCAGTTATGTTCTTCAATTTTGCTTTGCCTCTGCCTCAAATTTCAGGGCACACAAGAATCAGGTAGAATAATTACATAAATGCAGGTCTTTGCATTCAACTCCTTCCCTTGAGAGAACTTGATTTGGAGGCCTGAGGTGGGGCTCAGGAACCTGCAATTCTGCAGACCCGTACCTAAGGCTAGTCTGCCCACCACACTTTGGGAAACCCTCCTGCTTGGCTAGAATGAGACTTTGGTATACTCAAGATGGTTATCGAAGCATTACTTTGCTAAGAATTTCTAAGGAAAGTGGCAGTGTGTATGTGTAGATATTTTAATTGCTAGCTATTTTTGTTCATTTTATCTGAAACTATTGAGTGCCTCATCTCCAACCCACTTCCTTCATGTGTTGTACAAACATGTTTACTAAGAATGCCGGAGGCACACTCGCAAGATTGGACCACAGCGCCCCCTGGCAGGATTGTGAGGCAAAGCTGTAGATCACAGAAATGACTTCCAAATGGTGGGACCCTTTTCTAAGACACCTTTGGTTTCTTTCCAGATCAACGGTACCTGGTGACTACAGAGTATGGTAAGACCTAATCTCTCTCTTTCTCTCTCTGTCCCTGGGGTTGAACTCGGGGACACTCAACCACTGAGCCACATGCCTAGCTCTATTTTATTGTTTTATTTAGACACAGGGTCTCACTGAGTTGCTAAGCGTCTTGCTGTGGCTAAGGCTGGCTTTGAACTCTCGATCCTCCTGACTCAGCCTCCCAAGCCACTGGGATTACAGGCATGTGCCACCGCACTTGGCAAGACCTTTCCTCTCTTTACTCTTCTTTCCACAGTTTTGGTTATTGCCTGGGATGGTCAGCTCTACTGCTGCTGCCATTGGCTAGTCAGGACCGCAGAACAAATGCCCAGGGATGGAGTGGGGACAAGTGTTGTGGATGCCAAGTCCCTGGCCATGTCCCAGATGCACAGTTAATCCCGTCTGTCATTTTCCTTCCTTCTTTTCTCTAAACCATTTGCTGGATAAACCTAGCTTCAGCCTAGTGTCAGAAGAGACTTGAGAACAGCCAGGGCGTCTCCTTCTGTACAATAAGGGCCATTATCTCAAAGACAATTGACCTCTGTGAGGCACTTGTTATGTCCCTAGCACAAAATGGTTTTCATACATTAAATGAGTTACTATATAACAAGTATATGACTACCTGTCACAAAGTAAGTGCTCACATAATGCATATAGTAAATGAAATCTTCCCAACACTTGAGGTAAGTATCGTTATGCTTATTTTTCAGATATGAAAACTAGGGAATTTTGGGGTAATTTGCCAATACTTGTAAGTTTAAAGTCACATGGCTGGTGAGTGGCAGGGCAGAGATTTGAACCCGGAACTGGAACCCTGTCTGTGGCTCTTGTTAAGTGAGCCCCCCACATGCACACACTTTCTGCATTGACGTGTACAGACCTTTGTGACCGAGTTTTGATGTGTTAGGGTCATCTAGGACAAATGATCCCTGGAACTCTTGAGCTATCCCCCTTTCTAAGTCATGCCTTGAAATTTGCAAACGTGAACTGGGAGTCGACTTGAGAGGCCGCTTTTTGACTGACCTGAGTAGGGTCAGGCTGAGACAGGAACACATCATCCCAGGAGTGCCAGAAGGGGTGGTCATAAAAGGGGTGAACAGGCCCAGAAAACACCTCAGGAACACCCAGGAAACAGTCCAATTGGCCTTTCTTCCCTTGTTCTCTGAACATCGCCTGCCAAACGAAAGCAACCACCTTTCCCCTTACCTTGCACCTCACTTCAACCTGTCACAGATTTCTCAGAACCTCAGATGACCACGGAAGAGCCACAGTCAGGATCTAGCTGCTGATGTCAGATGTTGGCCGAGATCCCTCAGGACCCGCTGTGTATTCCCTTGACTACATCAGCGTGGCTTTCCACTGAGGGTGATTTGCAGGCATCGTGCTGCAGGAGCAGGGCACCTGTGGATTCCCCAGCCGTGGTGGTCGTCGTTACTGTGGGAGAGGAGGCTGAAGGGTTGGGCGAGGCCTGCTCCCGACACACGCCATCTTGAGCTTGACCCTGGGGGTGGTGGAGAGTAAGTTGAAGCAGTGTGAGCAGGGAAATGGCTTGGACATGTCTGCTCTTTGAAAAGGTTCAACCCGGGGGCCTTCAGTGGAGACAGACGAGTCCTCTGGGTACAGAGGGCAGAGTGAGCTCTGTTGGGTCTGAATGTGGTGCCTGAGAGAGGGAGGAGCAGAGAGAGATCACCTGGATCCCTGGAGAAGGCCAGGTTCAAGAGGGTGAAGGTCTAACCCAGTGATGGGTGTGGGAGGGAAAGAGAAAGGGGCCTGGGTGCTCAGTGGAGTGGAGCTGAAGAGGAGCAGGAATCGGGTGTAACGTCAGAATTCCAGCCCAGCTGCTGCCGTGGGGCAGCACTGTCAATCCAAGGAGAGGAAAGAGACCCTGCTGGGTTTGGGAGAGTGGGATGGAGATGGGACATCCTAGAGGCCACTGAAATTTTGGTGTGGAGTTCAGGGCTGGGACTGTCAGGGCTGGGTAGGACCTGAGTGGTGGCTTTGGAGGGTCCTCTGTGTGGGGAGTTCTCAGAGGACATGAGGATCTCCAGGGGGAAAGAGGGAGGACGGCAAAGACAGTGACATTTAAGGTCCTGAGGGGGAGAATCAGTGATGGGGACAGCACAAGGTGCTCTAAGAATGAGAAAAGGGAGCGCTAGGTGGCGTAGGGCAGGGGGCAGAGAGTGCCAAGACCCGGGCTTCCCGCTGTGTTGATGCAGGTTTACCTGTGAGGCTGGTGAATGGCGGTGACCGGTGCCAGGGCTGGGTGGAGGTCCTGTACCAAGGCTACTGGGGCACTGTTTGTGACGACAGCTGGGACACCCAGGATGCAGATGTCGTCTGTCGGCAGCTCGGCTGTGGCCATTCCGTGTCAGCCCTGGGCGGGGCTCACTTTGGTCAGGGCTCGGGGAACATTCTCCTGGGCGCCGTGTACTGCTCAGGAGGGGAGCCCTACCTGTCAAGCTGCCGCCATGATGGGTGGTACAACCACGAGTGTGGCCACAGGGAAGACGCGGGAGTCGTGTGCTCAGGTAGAGCAACTATCAGCGCACCGCAGCCACCCCAAGGCCTAGCCCCTGTGCGCGTGTGCACGCGTGTGGGCGGGCTTGCATGCGTGTGTGTGCACGTGTGTGCATACACTTGGCAGTTACCTGCTCTGCCATCAGTGGTTCCTTATTTGGTGGTAAAGGATCTGAACTACTATCCCTTTCACAAAGACCCTGAGGTCAGAGGGATCAAGGGACCCGCCTATTGTCCACAGCTGGGAAGTGATGGAGGCCAGCTTCAGCCTCAGAGCTTGCTGATGCCACCCCACAGTGGACTGGCTCTGATGAGGAGCAGCATGACCATCACCAGCCTAAGTGGCAGTTTCCCTTCCTCTAAAGGTGGGGAAGGATGGGCCAGCCGCTGGTCCTTACTACTTAAATGTGAACTAAAATCACATCAAGGTTTGGCCAATATGTTCTATTTACTGGGAATTAAATGCTAACACAAGGATGCTCACACCATGGGTGGAAAAGAGAGACCCTGACCCAGCCCAGCACATCCCGGGCTGCATCTCCTGGTTCACACGGTGCTGGAACCTGTCAAACACCAAGGGGTCTTACTGCACAAGAAGGCTCAGGGATGCTGGTCTATTGTGTCCCCCAGAAGAGGGGTTTCTATTAGACTGTCCATTGGCACTTACCATGTGGTCTGGACTGTGCAGTCCAGCTCTGCAGGGTGTCACTGTGACCCCACCTAAGAACGGTTGCCCTGAGGGAGTGTTGCCCAGAATACGACTCTGGAAACTGCCTTTCTCCCTGGGTGGGGTCACCTTTTCAGGAATATCTGAGTGATGGCAAATAGTTATCATTTCAGGGTGTCATTTCAGGTTTGACGTCTGAACTGGTGGACACTGGAAGCAGAGGAGGGAGAGGGTGGTGACAAGAGCAAAAAATGCTTGTAGGGGCATCCTGGGTGACCAAGTGACAGATGGGTGTTGGGTTTGACAAGGAAAAATATGCAGCCTTTTCGCAAAGGAGGGGGCCTCAGCGTGCGAGCTTCCAGCCCCTGCTCCCAAGGCTGAGAAAGCAGAAGACTCCCTTCCTGAAGTGAGGGCCGGCACCTGACCAATGTCCTCTCCTCTCTGCCTCTGCAGCTGCTTCGAGGCCCTCCACGACACTCCCGACAGAAGGTAATGTTTGTCACGTGGGATCCCTGTGGGCTCAGGCCCCCGTGAACCTAGGGGTCCATTTCTGAGGGTACCTGGAATGGGGTGATCAGCCCTCCTTCTGAAGAAGGCCTCAGGCCTGAGTGGACCTCTCTCTCACGGATCATGTCCCTGAGGCTGAGAGGCATCTCCAAGGATCTCTAAGGTGGAACCCTGTGTCCTGTCCTCAGGGGTCTCATTGCTGTGCTCAGTGCCCTGTGGTTCTCACCCATCCATGCTGACCTCTGGCCAGCCTCAGGTGCTGGATCTTGGGTTACAGAGCCCAAAGAGCCAGGTACAAACCTGCTCAGACCGCATCCTCACCCACGCCCTGTCTCTGAGCCCCTATCAAGCCACCCTGGAAATCATGATCCTTCAGACTGTGGGCATCAGAGGCCCTTTTGTTCCCCTGGGGGCACCTCAGTGAGACACCTGGGAAGCTCAGTCAACACAGCCTGAGACTCTGGCAGTATGGCCTTAGGGAAGGGAAGGCACGTCCCACTTCCCATTTCTTGATAAGCCAAGATCAAGGGCAATCTTCATCCCAAGGCCTCTGGCCTGCCCAGGTGTTGGCAAGCGCAGCGAGGAATGCCAGTGATCTGTGTGTCAGGCCAATGGGGTGTCCCGGATCTTACCTTCTCTTTCTCTTCTCTGTGGTTAAGGACATAAATGTCACAAGAGCTGAGGGTGAGACTGGCTTTATTCAAACTTAGCCACAACCCTTCCCAAGAGTCCACATTTTCTTATTTGCAGGAGCTCCAAGAGGAGAACCTGTTCCCTTGTCTGCCGTGGTTTCCTTTGAGGACCTTGTTATGTAATCGAAACGGCAGCTGGGCCTGAAAAGTCCTTGGGTGCAAATGGACCAACTAGGGATGAGCGTGAGGGAATGCAGGGGCCGGGCTGATCTGCCTGCGACACAGGACAGGGCTTACTCAGAGCTGCCCCTCCACGTGGAGGGTGGTCGACTTTCTTCTAGATCCAGGCATCTCATGTAGAAGCCCAGGTGGGTCACTTGGACCTGAGAGCTCTGGTGCAGCAGGTTAGGATGGCTCTCCAGTTGTCTCCTCTCCAAGCCCTGGCACCAGTCAGCTCTTGTCTTTGGAGCAATTTGAACACATAGATTTAGTGTCAATAACTTGCTTTAAGGGGAAACATTAGGAGCATTTTCATGAAAGCAAAAAACAAGTCAAGCATGCCCTCCAACCCCATTGCTATTCAATATTGTTTTGGAAATACTAGCCAATGCAATCAGACAAGAGAAATCAGAGGGACAAGAGTAGGATAAGTTATTTTTGGTTCCATCCCCAGAAGTTCTGTACAGGTCATATGTAGGTGTGAACAGAGATATTTTCTCCCTAAATAGCCTTTTAGGCCCAAGGCTAGACAGGTTTCTTAAATTTCTCATGCAGCAAGACAAAATCCAGATCAGGAATGACATCTCAATAGATTTCAGTTTACTTCCAGGTTTTTTTTTTAAATTTTTTTTTTTAGTTGTTGATAGACCTTTATTTTATTTATATATATACGGTGCTGAGAATCGAACCCAGTGCCTCACACATGCCGGGCAAGTGGCAACCGCTGAGCCCTAGCCCCAGCCCCACTACTTCCAGGTCTTGATTCTTCTCCGAGACTTATCTTTCCTGTTATTTTTTTTGTCTTATTTGCTTTTCACCTTTTACAATTATAACACACAGAGCCAAAAATAGCAAACTCTGAGACCTCCTTTGCAATAGGTAATGAATAATTTTGTATGAGTCCCTCTCTGTAGGTCACAATGCCAAGTATAACCATGGGTTTGGCTTTTCCTCAGGAAACCTTTTAGGGATAGAGTGATCGGTGTGTTGCAAATGCTTAGTGCAAGGACTGATGCCTTCTCAACAGAAAGCTTGGCAGTCTCCTTCATCGCTCATTTCCTTGTAGATGGGAAGGAATCAGTCAGAATATGGGGGCCTTCAAGAGCCTGTGTACTTTGGGACAGAGATCAGTGGAATCATTTCTCTAGTCTAGCGTGCTAGCTCCTCCATATCCATGGCTCTGTACTGACCTCAACCATTCTGCCTATAGAATCAAGAGGAGCTTGTGTAAAATACACTCCAAGTCATCCTTGGAGCCCCAGAAAGATGCCAGAGCTTCTCGCAGGACATCCTAACATCAGCAGGCTTCTGTTTAGCAGGGGCCTCATGTGTCCCCTGTAGAGGGAATCAGGCCTCTGCCCAGGCCTTTACTAGAGAAGGGTCATGTTGAATGATCTCTAGAGTCTCTCCAGCAAGCAAAGTGGGAAGGATACTTCCTACCATCTGGAGGCCAAGCATAATTCCTTCACATGTTCACTTCTTTTCTGCCTCCTGCAGATACAGTGGCAACAGGTCTTTTTCCCCCACTCTGTCTCTTTGGGTCACAATACTGTTGGCTCTCAGGTTAGTTTTGAATCAAAACAAAACGTGGGGTTAGAAAGATCAGAATAAGATGATCTTCCAGAAAAGTCTCCAGGTATATGAGGGTGGGACTGATGTCCTGTTTTAGGTGGTCCTACTCTAAGTCATCTCCAGCCTTTGATGTCACTGGGGATCCAACTGGCTGGGTCATCTGTACTTGAAGGCCTTGGTGGCAAGGTTGGCTAAAATCCAGGGCAGACTCTGCACAGGTCATGGCAGTTGACAGAGCAATGGCCATTCTCACGTCAAAGGACTATGGAACTGGAATGTGCATCCCAAAGAGGTCAGGGGAATGAGGTGTCACAGGGTGGACCTTTACAGGGCAAGGTGTCCAAGGCCCAGGATGTGAGTGAGCTTCAAATTTCACAATGGAGCTTGGCCCCTGGGAAGTGGTATTGTCTGCATATAACTACACAACCTTGGCCATTACGGAACAGCATGGAATGAGAAATCATGTGTTTTCTCTAGGAACTATATCTGGATTGGCCTTGAGGCTGGTGAATGGTGGAAACCGATGCCAGGGACGTGTGGAGGTCCTGTACGGCGGCTCCTGGGGCACTGTGTGCGATGACGGCTGGGACACCAACGATGCCAACGTGGTCTGCAGGCAGCTGGGCTGTGGCTGGGCTCTGTCTGCCCCAGGGAATGCCCGGTTTGGTCAGGGCTCAGGGCCGATTGTCCTGGATGATGTGGCCTGCTCTGGGCATGAGTCCTCCCTGTGGAACTGCGGCCACCGAGGTTGGCTCTCCCATAACTGTGGACACCAGGAGGACGCAGGAGTCATCTGCTCAGGTGAGCCTCTGGCCCCGCTGGACTCTCACCTCGTGAATGGACTCTGATCAGAGCCCTGGCCTTGCTCTTCATGTCTGAGTCCTGGCTCCTGGGTGGGGACACTATGGTTCTCCCCTTGATCAGACAGGTGGCTCCCGTGGGATGTGTGCTGGCAGGAGTGACGTCAGGCTGAGCTTGAGAAGGACCCCCTGGGCTGGGAACTGCCCCTCAGGCTGGGTGAGGCCTCCTCACAAGGGCCCCAGGAGGTCCCTGCTGCCTTGCACCTCCCCTCCCTGAGGAGCCCCTCCACTGCCCGTCCTGTGAGTGCTGCTCTCTGACGCGCCCCTGTCTCACTGACTGTCCCCTCCCCTCCTCCTTGGTCCACAGGGTCACCTGGCCCAAGGTGTCATTCTAACTGGCCCATCAGTCGGGCCCAGTGCCCCCTTTGCTGTGGGTCTACAGACATACAGAAGGGCATTGGCTTTCCACAGTGGCCATTTCCCAGGGAACTCTGGGGTGTGTCATGGCACCTGCTGAGGTGCCACCTGTGGGGCCACCTGCCTGGGCAAGACAGCTTAAAGGGGAGGCCCTGCCCCAGGCCCCTGCAGTCCACAGATAGGACTCTCCAGACCCTCAGAACTGCTGGAGATGGGAGGCCAGGGCTGCTGCGGTCATTCTCCTCAGGATGGTCAACTGGGGAGACCCTGGGAGAAGGGAGACGAGGAATCTTCACCCACTTTGGGGTGGGTGTGGGAGTGGACAGGGGCTGCCCTTGTAAAGAGAGTGTCCGTGGGAGGCCAGGTTGGTTAGTGTGAAACCCACCCCCAGGAACTGCTGTGCTCACCTGGAACTTTCTGGGCCATGTCTCTGCCTCCCCCCAGCTGTCCACGTGAGATGCCTCCTGTGTCCCAGTGATAGTGAGAGCACTGAGACCTTTCCTGGGGACAGGTTGTGTCCATGGTCTTAGGCAGAGATTGTGGGACTCCCAGCAGTCATGGGTGGCCTGTCCTATCCCCAATGCCACCCAGTGCCTGCTCTGTGCCACAGCACTGAGTGTCCTGCCCAGGTTCGCAGCACCTGGCAGCTGAGGAGAAGGGGAGCCCTGGGTTGATGTGGCATCTCGGCTGCTGCATCTTCACATGAAGTTTTAGCCTCTGACATGTGACCTTGGACCCTAGCCTGGGCTCTGTCCCTCCTAGTTCACTCTGTGATGCAGGGCTCCTGGGGAGGCAGAGAAACCCATTTTGCACATACGTTAAATCATGCTAGCAATTTTTCCATGTGCAGAGATGTATTTTTGGTCCCATGCATTTTTCCAGACTTCATGTCTGTGGGCATGGTACCTTGGCGTGTAAATCTAATATAAAAATTCTGAGTTATGTCCTTAAGCAGACTGCCTTGCACGTTTGGGTGGTCCATTTTGTCTTCAAGTGGGTATTTCTTTCATTTCTCTCCACTGATTTCTTGAATAGTCTTCGCAGAAGGATGGAAGCGTGGTTGCTCTCCTCCACTTTCTGTAAAGCAGTTTCCTGGGGGAATGGATGAGGGAGGCTGGAATGGTGGATATTTGAGCCCTGCTCCCTACTGAAGGTCCTTCCCTTTTAGAAGATTCCTACAGCAATGGCTGAGCCTCTAGGCCACGCTGACATTGTGCCTTGTCAGTGGCACCTGTAAGGAGAATCACAAGTTTTAAACCAATAGGCCTCTGCCTGGTCCCTCTTCTGTGATTCCATGACTAAGAGAGAGTGCCTTAGGCCAGGGCCAAAGCTATGCTGTAGATATCTGCTTTAAACCCTGAGTCCTGGAGACCAGCAGAGACAAAGCTCAGATTTCTGAAGTGTGACATCAATGCAGATAGCCACTGAGCAGGGGCACCCACACGACCCACGATGATGGGGGAGAGGGAGGAGTTCTTATTCACAGGTGAACAACTTCATGCTTGAACATAAGAAAGAACTTCCAGTGAACTTCCAGTGTCTTCTACATGAGCAGTTGATGCGGGTTTCAGTCAGGACTCAGGGGACTTCTGTCCCTGGAGTCACCTCACTTGGTCCCTCTGTCCTGCCTCACATTGGGGCATCCTGTTCCACCCTCAACTTTTCCTCCCTCTTTCTTGGGGGGCTTTGCTCTTAGAGAGACTTTCTGACATGTTAGTGTCCTCACATGATGGTTTTTGTGCTTTTCCCATTTATTGGAAGTCACTTTAGTTCTTTGCTGAGAATCGGGTTTGGTCTTGCAGTTTAGCTCCTGGTCTGGGTTGTTAATAAACTGTGAAATCAAGACCTTACACACCTTGAAGAAGTGTAAAGAAGAGTCAAGGAGAAAAGCCCCATATCCCCTCCTCCTCCCCCTCGGGTTCCTTTACCCCTCTGAAGGGGACAGGGTGAGGGTGAGGGTGATGCAGCACAGCGGGTGAGGGAGGCACCTGCTCACTGAGCCACATCTGCATCCAAATGCTCCATTGGGAAGGGAGGTCTTCAGCTGAGGCCACCCCTGTGGGGTGGTCCATCGGGAGGCTCCTGGGCTATGACTGCAGATGGGCACATGTGCATGACTGACCTGTGTTCTGGGGCCCTGCTTTACTGAGTCAGTGGCTAAAAGCCACAAGGTGGAGGAAAAGTGGGTTGAGCTCAACCACCACATCTAGATAGGGTCTCCCTCCCCTTGAGGCTGAAGGGGACAGGATCTGCCTGGACACCTCCAAGGAGCATCCTTTGGGCAATCAGCTCCCCCTTTGAGGGAAGGGACCAGCATGAATGAATGCCTGACCTGCTCCTTATCTTCCACCTGAGTCCCAGTTTTGCCGCCTCCTGTGTAATACATTGGATCCAACCTTCTCTCTCCCACAGGTGTCCCGTCTTCCACAGAGACTCCCACCCCAGGTGAGTCCATCTGCCTCCTCACTTCTAGGTGACCCTCACTCCTTGCTCCTGTTCACAGCTCCAGCTGGTAGCTCTGAGAGGGTCTGTGGAGTGTTCTAGCAGCAGAGCCCACAGAGTGTTCATCCTCCTTCCTAGCCTGGAGGGACAGGACAGTGCCAGCTCTGACCTGAGTGTTGAGGAGCAGTCAGGCAGTTCCTGGGCCACTGCTCCTGGAACACCTCCTCTGGCCAAGACTCGTGTGGGAGGGGAGCACAGGGATTTTTCATGTCATATACCTCAGGCATGTACAGAGAAATTCTTTTAACCAGAGAGCCATCCTTCAGAAAAGCTTGTAGCTTCCCCTGGGACTGTGTACCTCATTGCCATGGTGGAGGTGATTCAGGTCATGGTCTTGCTCACTGAGGCTCTCTAGTAAGGCTTGTTCTCCCCCAGGCACAGAACTTCTCTGACCACCTGTGCCTGATTCCAGCACCAGGTCCCTCCCCAACCTCCACTCCACACCCCCTGCCCTTCTAAGGTGGCTTTGTCTTCCTTCCCAGGTTGGTGGCCTAGAACAACTCCCATCTATGGTAAGCATTTTTGGATTAAGTTCAACCTTGACCTCACACCCCCTGCTTCCTAATCTGATCTTGTTTTCCTTTCCAGATTGGTGGACTACAACAACTCCTTACTACGGTAAGCATTTTTGAATTAAGTGTAACCTTGGCTCCACACCTTTGCCCTCTAATCTGATTTTGTTTTCCATTTCCATTTCAGATTGGTGGCATCCAACAACTACTCCCCCTGGTAAGCACTTTTGACTAAGTCAAGGCTTTGAACTCTAAGTGACAGCTCAGATTTGGGGGATTCTTGGACCTTGCATGAAGTCTCTCAGAGGACTTCTGTCCCTGGGGTCAGTGGGAACAGCAACACTCCAGCAGCTGCAGAAAATGGATCAACGTCCCCACAAATGACACACTGGCTGCTTACCACCTCTTCCACTGTGAAGGGCTCCCTTCATCCAGCTGTTGTGCATTGTGCTGTAAAAGGGATCTGAGTCAGGATGCTTTTGTTGTCAAGTGACAGGAGCCCAACTCAAAGTCAGCTAGAAAGAATTTGTTGACTCACTTGTGTAAGATGCATACTTATAGATCAGGGGCTCCAGGTAGAGCTAGATCTAGAAGTTTCTGAGGTGCCTGTTCCCCTCGAGTTTCTTAGGCACACTGTTTCCATGTGCGGGGTTCACCCTCAGCTTGCTTTTTGTGAGTAGGGGAACAATGGTTGTTTGAGGCCCAAATCTATACCCCACTAGGTGAAAGAGCCCATCAGGCTCCATAGGTCGGACCAGTTTCTCCCAGGGGGACTCATATTGAACTTGGTGGCTCCAGATCCCTCTGCGGAGCCACCTCTGTGTGCTGGGATGGTCCAGGACATTATGTCCTCCTTCAGAGCTGTAGGGAGATGGGGAAGATGTTGGTACCAGACTCTTTTTGGAATTTGTAGTATGAGGCTTTGGGGATTTTTTTAATAGTAAATTCCTTTTGTATGTAAATTTATTAAACAAACAAAACAAACCACAAAAAAACAAAACCAGAGCAGCAGCAGAGAAAGCCCTCCCCAAGGAGAGCCGGTTGTCGTCCCCCTTCCTGTTGACACCTGTCCTCTCCCAGGTGTCCTCCCGTGTCTGTGCGCTGCTCCCAGCTGTCCTGTGTCCCTGGGTGAGAGCCTGAGCTGTCAGTGGAGTGTCCATGGAGGAGTGCAGAGGCCTCTCCATGTCCTCCAAACCTGTCCACCTGTCTCCCGTAGAGACCCTAGGAGCACAGCTCCTCCTGCCTGTGGCTCTGTGATAAGACTGGGGTCCTGGACACAGCAAGCCCGGGACGGGAAAAGCGCCCACACTTTCATTGCGCCTCCACCCTGACATCCTGGCTTCCCCGGTCTTCTGAGAGGGTGACAAATAGTGGGCTCTCCTGTTCTCACACCAAACCCACATCAGCAGATTCACACCCTCCACGGGGACATGCCTGAGCTGTGTTAAGCTCCCGAAGGTTCCCTTGGGCTCAGGGCCCAGGGCGCTGCACAGGTCCACGGGCCTGGAGATGACCACTGTTTGCCGTTAATGAAGCAGAGGGGCCCATGTGGGCTGTGAGAACCAGGAAGCTTCTCTCCCTCAGAGGAGAGACTGGGAGACACTTGATGGTGGCCTGAAGAACTCGTCCAGGGCCTGCTCCTCTTTTTTTAATTTCCTAATACAGATTTTTATTTCTCTATAAACTAAAAATTGTCTCAGGGTACAGGAGTATGCATGTATTCATATATGTCCACTATGTATATACACCTGTACACACATGTACACAGACGTGTATCATGTGGAGCTCCCATTGATACTATTTCCCTTTTGTTACCTTATCTTGGTAAAATGTATATATAACATCAAGTTTGTTATTTTCTTTTTATCCTCCGTATTGTGGGTTCATTCCAGGGCTTTCCTCATGAAAGGCAAGCCCTTACCTCTGAACAATGTTCCCCAGCCCAGATTTACTGTTTTAGGTTATATAATCTAAAATTTTTCCATTTACCTTTTTTAAATTGTGCAATTTGGTGATATTAGATACATCCATGGGATACCATTACCACCATCTAGTTCCAGAACTTTCATCCTCCCCAACTAAAACCCCACCGACGTGTCCCAGCTCTTACTCTTTCCCAGCTTCTGGTAAGCCCAGCTCTGCTCTGGGTGTCTGCATTTGCCCCCCTGTTTATTTCCCGTGAATGGAAGCCCTGGCTCTCTTGGCTGCCTTATTTCATTCAGCAGGTTTTCACTTGCATTTGGCATGTAGGAGCGTGTCTTTTCTTTTCACTGCCAGAAGCCATTCCGTGGTAGGAATATGCCACCTTTGTTGACCCATGTTCTGTTTACCCATTCACCTGTGGATGGCCACAGGTCGTCTCTGCCTGTTGGCTGTGTAAATAGTGCTGCCAGAGCAGGCACATACAATTTTGGCTGGGTTGCCTGTTCCTGGTTCCTCTGTGTATAGACCTAGAAGTGGGATGTCTGGGTCCTATGCTGATTCAGTGTGTCACTTGTGGGGACGTTGAACCATTTTCTACAGCAGCTGGAGTGTTGCTGTTCCCACCGGCAGTGTCTGAGGGCTTGGTCTTTCCATATGTCCCCAGCAGTGGTCATGGTGTATCTTGTTCATCATGGTGTCCTGGATGGAGTGAGGTGGTATCTCATTGGAATTATTCCCCCCAGTACTGGGGTTTAAACCCAGGGCCTGGTGTATGCCAGGCAGACACTTTACCACTGAGCCACATCCCCAGCCCTCTCTTAGGGATTTTGACAGCACTTCCCTAATGACAAATGATGCCCATCTCTAGGAACAACTGATTTCAGTTTGGACCTGAGACTGGTGAATGGAGGTCACCGGTGTCAAGGCCGGGTGGAGGTCCTGTACAGAGGCTCCTGGGGCACCGTGTGCGATGACAGCTGGGACATCAACGATGCCAACGTGGTCTGCAGGCAGCTGGGCTGTGGCTGGGCTGTGTCTGCCCCAGGGAATGCCCGGTTTGGTCAGGGCTCAGGACCGATTGTCCTGGATAATGTGGCCTGCTCTGGGCATGAGTCCTACCTGTGGAACTGCGGCCACAATGGCTGGCTCTCCCATAACTGTGTACACCCGGAGGACGCAGGAGTCATCTGCTCAGGTGAGCCTCTGGCCCCGCTGGACTCTCACCTCGTGAATGGACTCTGATCAGAGCCCTGGCCTTGCTCTTCATGTGTGAGCCCTGGCTCCTGGGTGGGGACGCTGTGGTTCTCCCCTTGATCAGACAGGTGGCACCCGTGGGATGTGTGCTGGCAGGAGTGACGTCAGGCTGAGCTTGAGAAGGACCCCCTGGGCTGGGAACTGCCCCTCAGGCTGGGTGAGGCCTCCTCACAAGGGCCCCAGGAGGTCCCTGCTGCCTTGCACCTCCCCTCCCTGAGGAGCCCCTCCACTGCCCGTCCTGTGAGTGCTGCTCTCTGACGCGCCCCTGTCTCACTGACTGTCCCCTCCCCTCCTCCTTGGTCCACAGGGTCACCTGGCCCAAGGTGTCATTCTAACTGGCCCATCAGTCGGGCCCAGTGCCCCCTTTGCTGTGGGTCTGCAGACGTACAGAAGGGCATTGGCTTTCCACAGTGGCCATTTCCCAGGGAACTCTGGGGTGTGTCATGGCACCCGCTGAGGTGCCACCTGTGGGGCCACCTGCCTGGGCAAGACAGCTTAAAGGGGAGGCCCTGCCCCAGGCCCCTGCAGTCCACAGATAGGACTCTCCAGACCCTCAGAACTGCTGGAGATGGGAGGCCAGGGCTGCTGCGGTCATTCTCCTCAGGATGGTCAACTGGGGAGACCCTGGGAGAAGGGAGACGAGGAATCTTCACCCACTTTGGGGTGGGTGTGGGAGTGGACAGGGGCTGCCCTTGTAAAGAGAGTGTCCGTGGGAGGCCAGGTTGGTTAGTGTGAAACCCACCCCCAGGAACTGCTGTGCTCACCTGGAACTTTCTGGGCCATGTCTCTGCCTCCCCCCAGCTGTCCACGTGAGATGCCTCCTGTGTCCCAGTGATAGTGAGAGCACTGAGACCTTTCCTGGGGACAGGTTGTGTCCATGGTCTTAGGCAGAGATTGTGGGACTCCCAGCAGTCATGGGTGGCCTGTCCTATCCCCAATGCCACCCAGTGCCTGCTCTGTGCCACAGCACTGAGTGTCCTGCCCAGATTCGCAGCACCTGGCAGCTGAGGAGAAGGGGAGCACTGGGTTGGTGGGCACCTCGGCTGCCACTTCTGCACATGAAGCCATAGCCTCTGACATGTGACCTTGGACCCTAGCCTGGGCTTTGTCCCTCCCAGTTTATTCAGGGATGCAGGGCTGCTAGGGAAGCAGAGAAACCCCTTTGCTAGCTAGTTTCCATGCTTACAGGTGTACTTCTGGTCATGCGCATTTCCCCACAATTCATGTTGTAGGCTTGGTACCTTGACATGTAAAATCCCTATTGAAACTTTGCAAGTTATGTCTTTGGCCCACTTCCTTGCACATTTGGGTGGCCCAGTTTGACTTCAAGTTGAATGTTTCTTTCATTTCTCTCCATTTTATATTGTTGTTGATGTCATTGGTACCAGGGATTGAACTCAGGGGCACTGAACTACTGAGCCCCATCCCCAGCCCTATTTTGTATTTATTTAGAGACAGGGTCTCACTGAGTTGCCTAGTGCCTCACCATTGTTGAGGCTGGCTTTGACCTCGAGATCCTCCTGCCTCAGCCTCCTGGGCTGCTGGGATTACAGGCGTGCACCACCACACCCAGCTTTCCTTGATTTTTGAATAAAGTCTTCACAGAAGGATGGAAGCGCGGATGCTCTCCTCGACTTTCTGCAAAGCAGCTGCCTGGGGGAATGGAGGAGGGAGGCAGGAATGGTGGATATTTGAGCCCTGCTGCCTGCTGAAGGTGCTACCTTTTTAGAAGATTCCTACAGCAATGGCTGAGCCTCTCGGCCACGCTGACGGTGTGCCTTGTCAGTTGGCACCTGTAAGGAGAATCAGAGTTTTAAACCAAACAGGTCTCTGCCTGCCTCCTTTTCTGTGATCTAAAGAGAGAGTGGCTCAGGCCAGGGCCAAAGCTATGCTGTAGATATCTGCTTTAAACCCTGAGTCCTGGAGACCAGCAGAGACAAAGCTCAGATTTCTGAAGTATGACATCAGTGCAGATAGCAACTGAGCAGGGGCACCCACCCGACCCATGATGATGGGGGAGAGGGAGGAGTTCTTATTCACAGGTGAACAACTTCATGCTTGAACATAAGAAAGAACTTCCAGTGAACTTCCAGTGTCTTCCACAAGAGCAGTCATGTGGGTCTCTGTCGGGACTCAGGGACTTCTGTCCTTGGGGTAACCTTACTTGATCCCTCTGTCCTGCCTCACGTCGGGGCATCCTGTTGTACTCTCAAAATGGCCTCTGTGTTTTGTGGTGGGCTTTGCTCTGAGAGGAAGACTTTCTGACATGTTACTCTCCTCATGTGAAAGTTTTATGATTTTCATAATTTCTTGAAATCATCTTAGTTCTTTGCTGAGAATCGGGTTTGGTCTTGCAGTTTAGCTCCTGGTCTGGGTTCTTAATAAACTGTGAAATCAAGACCTTACACACCTTGAAGAAGTGTAAATAAGAGTCAAGGAGAAAAGCCCCATATCCCCTCCTCCGCTCCTGGGTTCCTTTACCCCACTGAAGGGGACAGGGTGAGGGTGAGTGTGATGCAGCACAGCGGGTGAGGGAGGCACCTGCTCACTGAGCCACATCTGCATCCAAATGCTCCATTGGGAAGGGAGGTCTTCAGCTGAGGCCACCCCTGTGGGGTGGTCCATCGGGAGGCTCCTGGGCTATGACTGCAGATGGGCACATGTGCATGACTGACCTGTGTTCTGGGGCCCTGCTTTACTGAGTCAGTGGCTAAAAGCCACAAGGTGGAGGAAGAGTGGGTTGAGCTCAACCACCACATCTAGACAGGGTCTCCCTCCCCTTGAGGCTGAAGGGGACAGGATCTGCCTGGACACCTCCAAGGAGCATCCTTTGGGCAATCAGCTCCCCCTTTGAGGGAAGGGACCAGCATGAATGAATGCCTGACCTGCTCCTTATCTTCCACCTGAGTCCCAGTTTTGCCGCCTCCTGTGTAATACATTGGATCCAACCTTCTCTCTCCCACAGATGTCCCGTCTTCCACAGAGACTCCCACTCCAGGTGAGTCCATCTGCCTCCTCACTTCTAGGTGACCCTCACTCCTTGCTCCTGTTCACAGCTCCAGCTGGTAGCTCTGAGAGGGTCTGTGGAGTGTTCTAGCAGCAGAGCCCACAGAGTGTTCATCCTCCTTCCTAGCCTGGAGGGACAGGACAGTGCCAGCTCTGACCTGAGTGTTGAGGAGCAGTCAGGCAGTTCCTGGGCCACTGCTCCTGGAACACCTCCTCTGGCCAAGACTCGTGTGGGAGGGGAGCACAGGGATTTTTCATGTCATATACCTCAGGCATGTACAGAGAAATTCTTTTAACCAGAGAGCCATCCTTCAGAAAAGCTTGTAGCTTCCCCTGGGACTGTGTACCTCATTGCCATGGTGGAGGTGATTCAGGTCATGGTCTTGCTCACTGAGGCTCTCTAGTAAGGCTTGTTCTCCCCCAGGCACAGAACTTCTCTGACCACCTGTGCCTGATTCCAGCACCAGGTCCCTCCCCAACCTCCACTCCACACCCCCTGCCCTTCTAAGGTGGCTTTGTCTTCCTTCCCAGGTTGGTGGCCTAGAACAACTCCCATCTATGGTAAGCATTTTTGGATTAAGTTCAACCTTGACCTCACACCCCCTGCTTCCTAATCTGATCTTGTTTTCCTTTCCAGATTGGTGGACTACAACAACTCCTTACTACGGTAAGCATTTTTGAATTAAGTGTAACCTTGGCTCCACACCTTTGCCCTCTAATCTGATTTTGTTTTCCATTTCCATTTCAGATTGGTGGCATCCAACAACTACTCCCCCTGGTAAGCACTTTTGACTAAGTCAAGGCTTTGAACTCTAAGTGACAGCTCAGATTTGGGGGATTCTTGGACTTTGCATGAAGTCTCTGGCTGCTTACCACCTCTTCTATTGTGAAGGGCTCCCTTCACCCAGCTGTTGTGCATTGTGCTGTAAATGGATCTGAGTCAGGATGCTTTTGTTGGCAAGTGACAGGAGCCCAACTCAAAGTCAGCTAGAAAGAATTTGTTGACTCACTTGTGTAAGATGCATACTTATAGATCAGGGGCTCCAGGTAGAGCTAGATCTAGAAGTTTCTGAGGTGCCTGTTCCCCTCGAGTTTCTTAGGCACACTGTTTCCATGTGCGGGGTTCACCCTCAGCTTGCTTTTTGTGAGTAGGGGAACAATGGTTGTTTGAGGCCCAAATCTATACCCCACTAGGTGAAAGAGCCCATCAGGCTCCATAGGTCGGACCAGTTTCTCCCAGGGGGACTCATATTGAACTTGGTGGCTCCAGATCCCTCTGCGGAGCCACCTCTGTGTGCTGGGATGGTCCAGGACATTATGTCCTCCTTCAGAGCTGTAGGGAGATGGGGAAGATGTTGGTACCAGACTCTTTTTGGAATTTGTAGTATGAGGCTTTGGGGATTTTTTTAATAGTAAATTCCTTTTGTATGTAAATTTATTAAACAAACAAAACAAACCACAAAAAAACAAAACCAGAGCAGCAGCAGAGAAAGCCCTCCCCAAGGAGAGCCGGTTGTCGTCCCCCTTCCTGTTGACACCTGTCCTCTCCCAGGTGTCCTCCCGTGTCTGTGCGCTGCTCCCAGCTGTCCTGTGTCCCTGGGTGAGAGCCTGAGCTGTCAGTGGAGTGTCCATGGAGGAGTGCAGAGGCCTCTCCATGTCCTCCAAACCTGTCCACCTGTCTCCCGTAGGGACCCTAGGAGCACAGCTCCTCCTGCCTGTGGCTCTGTGATAAGACTGGGGTCCTGGACCCAGCAAGCCCGGGACGGGAAAAGCGCCCACACTTTCATTGCGCCTCCACCCTGACATCCTGGCTTCCCCGGTCTTCTGAGAGGGTGACAAATAGTGGGCTCTCCTGTTCTCACACCAAACCCACATCAGCAGATTCACACCCTCCACGGGGACATGCCTGAGCTGTGTTAAGCTCCCGAAGGTTCCCTTGGGCTCAGGGCCCAGGGCGCTGCACAGGTCCACGGGCCTGGAGATGACCACTGTTTGCCGTTAATGAAGCAGAGGGGCCCATGTGGGCTGTGAGAACCAGGAAGCTTCTCTCCCTCAGAGGAGAGACTGGGAGACACTTGATGGTGGCCTGAAGAACTCGTCCAGGGCCTGCTCCTCTTTTTTTAATTTCCTAATACAGATTTTTATTTCTCTATAAACTAAAAATTGTCTCAGGGTACAGGAATATGCATATATTCACATATTCCATTGTATGTGTGTATGTATAGGTATACCCACATACATAGAGGTGTATATATGGAGCTCACAATGACATCATTTTCCTGTTGTTACCTTATTTTGATAACATCTATACATAAAGTAAAATTTGTGTTTTTCCTTTTATTTGCTTCCATATTTGGGATTGATTCCAGGACTTTGCACATGATAGGCAATCCCTTTACCTTTAAAAAATATCACCAGCCCAAATTTACCATTTTAGGTTGTATCATTTAAAATTTTTCCATTTACCTTTTTTAAATTGTGCAATTCCGTGATATTGAGTACATCCGCGGGATTGTGCAACCATTACCACTATCTAGTTCCAGAACTTTCATCATCCCCAGCTAAAACCCCACTGACCTGTCCCCCCTCTTGGTCTTTCCCAGCTTCTGGTAAGCACAGCTCTGCTCTGGGTGTCTGGATTTGCCTCCCTGGTTATTTCCCGTGAATGGAAGCCCTGGCTTTCTTGGCTGCCTTATTCCATTCAGCAGGTTTTCACTTGTGCTTGGCATGTAGGAGCGTGTCTTTTCTTTTCACTGCCAGAAGCCAGTCCGTGGTACGAATATGCCACCATTGTTGACACCACGTTCTGTTTACCCATTCACCTGTGGATGGGCACAGGTGATCTCTGTCTGTTGGCTGTGTAAATAGTGCTGCCCGAGCAGGCAATACAATTTTTAAAAAACTTATTTATTTATTTTTTAGTTTTTGGTGGACACAACATCTTTTCTTTATTTTTATGTGGTGCTGAGGATCGAACCCAGCGCCTCGTGCATGCCAGGCGAGCGCGCTACCACTTGGCCACATTCCCAGCCCCTACAAACAATTTTGGCTGGGATTCCTGTTCCTGGTTCCTCTGGGTATAGACCTAGAAGTGGGTTGTCTGGGTCCTATGCTGATTCAGTGTGTCACTTGTGGGGACGTTGAACCATTTTCTACAGCAGCTGGAGTGTTGCTGTTCCCACTGGCAGTGTCTGAGGGCTTGGTCTTTCCATATGTCCCCAGCAGTGGTCATGGTGTATCTTGTTCATCATGGTGTCCTGGGTGGAGTGAGGTGGTATCTCATTGGGATTATTCCCCCCAGTACTGGTGTTTAAACCCAGGGCCTGGTGCATGCCAGGCAGACACTTTACCACTGAGCCACATCCCCAGCCCTCTCTTAGGGATTTTGATACCACTTCCCTAATGACAAATGATGTCCATGTCTAGGAACAACTGATTTCGGTTTGGACCTGAGAGTGGTGAATGGGAGTAACCAGTGTGAAGGCCGGGTGGAGGTCCTGTACAGAGGCTCCTGGGGCACCGTGTGCGATGACAGCTGGGACATCAACGATGCCAACGTGGTCTGCAGGCAGCTGGGCTGTGGCTGGGCTCTGTCTGCCCCAGGGTATGCCCGGTTTGGTCAGGGCTCAGGACCGATTGTTCTAGATGATGTGGCCTGCTCTGGGCATGAGTCCTACCTGTGGAACTGCCGCCACCGAGGTTGGCTCTCCCATAACTGTGTACACCAGGAGGACGCAGGAGTCATCTGCTCAGGTGAGCCTCTGGCCCCACTGGACTCTCACCTCGTGAATGGACTCTGATCAGAGCCCTGGCCTTGCTCTTCATGTGTGAGCCCTGGCTCCTGGGTGGGGACGCTGTGGTTCTCCCCTTGAACAGACAGGTGGCTCCCGTGGGATGTGTGCTGGCAGGAGTGACGTCAGGCTGAGCCTGAGAAGGACCCCCTGGGCTGGGAACTGCCCCTCAGGCTGGGTGAGGCCTCCTCACAAGGGCCCCAGGAGGTCCCTGCTGCCTTGCACCTCCCCTCCCTGAGGAGCCCCTCCACTGCCCGTCCTGTGAGTGCTGCTCTCTGACGCGCCCCTGTCTCACTGACTGTCCCCTTCCCCTCCTCCTTGGTCCACAAGATCACTTGAGGCAGTCATTCTTCTCAGGATGGTTAACTGAGGAGACCCTGGACAAAGGGAGATGACTCTGGGTATAGGAATATGCATATATTCATATATATGTACTATTCATGTGTGTATATGTAGGTGTACACACATGTACATAGATGTGTGTATGTGGAGCTCCCATTGACATTATTTCCCTTTGGTTACCTTATTTTGGTAAAAGATATGCACAACATAAAATTTCTCATTTTCCTTTCTTTCACCCATACTGGGAGTCAGATCCAGGACTTTGAATAGGCAAGCCCTTTACCTCTGAACAATGTTCCCCAGCCCAGATTTAACATTTTAGATGGTATCATTTAAAATTTTCCATTTACCTTTTTTAAATTGTGTAATTCTGTGATATTGAGTATATCCATGGGATTGTGCAACCATTACCACCATCTAGTTCCAGAACTTTCATCATCCCCAACTAAAACCCCACCGACGTGTCCCAGCTCTTACTCTTTCCCAGCTTCTGGTAAGCCCAGCTCTGCTCTGGGTGTCTGCATTTGCCCCCCTGGTTATTTCCCGTGAATGGAAGCCCTGGCTCTCTTGGCTGCCTTATTTCATTCAGCAGGTTTTCACTTGCATTTGGCATGTAGGAGCGTGTCTTTTCTTTTCACTGCCGGAAGCCATTCCGTGGAACGAATATGCCACCATTGTTGACCCACGTTCTGTTTACCCATTCACCTGTGGATGGGCACAGGTTGTCTCTGCCTGTTGGCTGTGTAAATAGTGCTGCCAGAGCAGGCACATACAATTTTGGCTGGGTTGCCTGTTCCTGGTTCCTCTGGGTATAGACCTAGAAGTGGGATGTCTGGGTCCTATGCTGATTCAGTGTGTCACTTGTGGGGACGTTGAACCATTTTCTACAGCAGCTGGAGTGTTGCTGTTCCCACTGGCAGTGTCTGAGGGCTTGGTCTTTCCATATGTCCCCAGCAGTGGTCATGGTGTATCTTGTTCATCATGGTGTCCTGGGTGGAGTGAGGTGGTATCTCATTGGGATTATTCCCCCCAGTACTGGGGTTTAAACCCAGGGCCTGGTACATGCCAGGCAGATACTTTACCACTGAGCCACATCCCCAGCCCTCTCTTAGGGATTTTGACAGCACTTCCCTAATGACAAATGATGCCCATCTCTAGAAACAAATGATTTCGATTTGGACCTGAGACTGGTGAATGGAGGTAACCGGTGTCAAGGCCAGGTGGAGGTCCTTTACAGAGGCTCCTGGGGCACCGTGTGCGATGATGGCTGGGACATCAACGATGCCAACGTGGTCTGCAGGCAGCTGGGCTGTGGCTGGGTTCTGTCTGCCCCTGTGCATGCCCAGTTTGGTCAGGGCTCAGGGCCAATTGTCCTGGATGATGTGGCCTGCTTTGGGCATGAGTCCTATCTGTGGAACTGCCCCAACCGAGGTTGGCTCTCCCATAAGTGTGTCCATGCTGAGGATGCCGGAGTCATCTGCTTAGGTGACAATTCTCTAGAGTCATGTGCAGTTTTGCTGAAGCAACGGCTCCTTTGAACTGGCCTCCTCTCACCCTGAGCTTTTCTGGGAGATAGTGGTTCCCCTGAGACCTGCCCAAGGTAATGACATTACTCATGTCACTGGTGTCTGGCCTTGGTTGGTGTTCTGTGGCTTCTTCCTTAGTTTGGTCCCTAAAGCAGACAGGGGTTGAGTCTTCTGGAGCCTGTTAGAACAAATTCCCCCAGGACTGCAGTTTGGAGACAGGCCCTCTGGAGTGTGTTCAGGCCTCCCAAGGAGCATTTCTGAGAGAGGAGGAGGGAAATCACTCCAGCATTTTTCTTGCTCATCATTGTGTGGCTCCTTGTAACACATCTGGTCCGTGGGACTGACTCACGTTCTCTTCTTTTTCCTGTAGGACCTACAAGTTCTCCTACTCCGTCAGGTGAGTGTGTCCCCAGCCCCCTTCTGGGATTGCATTTCCTCTGTGGGATTCTGGAAGGAGGAGGAGTGGGACAGAGGCGGTGCTCTCAGGAGGGGGTGCTCTCCGAGGCCCAGCTTCCCAGAGTCCCAGCAGCTCCTGCTACTGCTGTTGACAGCGTTTGTCCAGATGCTGCTGTGGAAGGGGCTTTGGGCCTCCGGTCACTTTGGACGTAAATATCTGTCTGAATTAGAGCATGGGGAGTTGGGACCTTCATTGAGGGACATGAGCCGGGAAATCCACTGCACATGTCTGTCTGATAAAGAATCCCTTCCAGAGCATTCTTTGTGCTGCATTGATAATCTTCTGTGCCCCGTGTGTTGGTGCCCAGTGCAGCCTCATGGAGTCCATGTACTCCAGCCTGTAACCAGGAAAATGACCTAATTTGGCTCATCCAGCTAATGACCATGGAATTAAAAATTTATCTGGTAAATAAAACAGATAAATAAATAAAAAAATAAACATTGTCTTTCTAGGTTGGTGGCACCCAACCACCACCATCTCTGCCACCACTGGTCGTAGTATCACGTTTTCTGCCTACGTACAGGACCGGGAGGGATGTCCTGTTCTAAGCCTGTCCCCTGAGGCCATCTCTGTCTGCCCACACCTGCCTGCTCCCTGGGGACCCCTGCACACACACACCCTTCCCACCTCCCCTGCCTGGAGGATGATCTTGACTAAGGAGTTCTGCTTCTTCATTTCAATGAGAGAAATATCCTTAGACAAATAGGCTCATAATTTTATTTCTTGAAGTATTTTCAAAACTTGGGAAGGAAGAAGGGTGACAGATTGTAAATGGGCCATTTCACAGTGATGGTGCTTTTTCCTGTCGTTCCGCAATATGGGTATGTTTCAAAACCTTCCCTTTTGCTCTTAAAACAAGGGCTCCGGCTACTTTTGTATCATGAATCCTTTCCTCACCGTTGTTTGAAACACCTATATTATTTTTTATTGTCCACTATGCGTGAATTGCTCAATGGATCCCCAGTCTCTGTGCATTTAAGTGGTTTATATCTCATTATTATAAATGATTCTGTGACATGGACTATTTTCACAGAGAAATCTTTGCATATATCATCAATTTTTTTCTTTAGGATAGAAATAGATTTAGGAGGCTAATGGTAGCACAGTGCCTGGTATACAGTGTGCCTGGTAAAAATATCAACTCTTCCCATTGGAAGGGTTTTCCCTGTGTTTGGCCACGGTGCCTCTGAGAATGGTTGTGCAGTATGGAATGGTGAAAAAGATAAACTCATTACCTGCCTCAGGTAGTTAGTTGACAGGACTAAATGTTTGTCTGAACTGAGCTGTGAAGTCCCAGTTCTGAAGGTGCTTCCCAGGACAGGCTGGGGTGCCAGAGAACTTCCTTCCTTGGGGGCTGGGGCCGTTCTTTCTGGAAGTGACACTTCAGCTGACAAGGGGTGCGCTCCCTGCATCTTTTCAGGGTCCTCCTTGCCATCTGCACTGACGTCCTCAAATCTCTCCTGCTGGGTCCCTATGACATGCATCCCCTCTTTCCCTCTCTGCCTGGTTTGCTCCCCACTCATCTGGGTCAGGAGCCAAGCCCCTGGCCCCACCTTCCCTGGGCTTTCCTCCATCTCGGCCTCGGTCCATGCCTTTGGTCCTCTCCTCCACAAGGAGGGCAAGCCCGGTTTCAGCCCCCACTGTAAGCCCAGGGCTGGTGCAGTGCAAATCAGCCAGCCTGCATCAACAACCATGTAGAAGGTGCTAGAAAACTGATCATGATCCTCTCTGTTTGTCAACAGTTGCTGCTTCCACCCTCAGCTACCCAAACGGTAAGTTCTGGGCTCCCTGACGAGTCTATGGCAGAGGTGCCCACAACCTCCTTCCCTCCCCTCCTGTGGGGGGACAATGAGAATGACAGGGAGCGGGCTCCCTGGGCGCAGCCTCCCGGGAGGGCTTCTCCCCTGCCCTCAGTGGGTGGTGCAAGTCCGGGCTCCTCTTGTCGGGTTTCTGCCTTAGAAATTGAGTAGGAAATTCCTCCCAGGTGGCTGAGCCAGGTGCTGCGGGCTCATCACGTTTCCTTCTTGTTCTGACAGTGAATTCCTGCGGAGGCTTCCTGGCCCAATCGTCAGGAAACTTTTCTAGCCCATTCTACCCAGGGAACTATCCAAACAATGCCAGGTGTGTGTGGGACATTGAGGTCCCGAACAACTATCTGGTGACTGTCATCTTCATAGATGTCCGGTGAGTGCGTGGGCACCAGCAGAATGAGTTGGGGACCCCACAGACATTTAGAGAGAGAAGACATGGGCCATTCAGGGGCGAGGCTTGTCCAGGGACAGGTTTTATTACTAGTTGTTTTTGACCTAGAACAGCAGCAGCCCATGGGGAGGGGGGCCTGGAGCCAAGATCCCTGGAGTGACAAGGGCTCTGGTTTCAAGTTCCAGGTCTGTCACTAATTTGCTGTGTGACCATGGGAAATCACTCAACCTTCCCAAGGGTCAACCCAAGGAGGGGAATAATATATTTTCCTTTCCCTGGTGATTCCGGGACAGGTGCAAGAGTATGTGAAAAACACTTGGAAAATGTCACCCAGTGGGAGTAATGGGGAACAATTCAAATCCTCCCCTTAACAACTGCACCCATTTGGGACCCTTCCCTGGCCTCTCCCCATCTTCCCGTGATCAGGTGGAGGGGGGAGCCCGCTGGGACACCAGGTGGCCTGTTCCTCATCCAATTGCAAGTGGGAATCACTGTTCTAAGCAGAAGGGGACGTCACCAAAAGCATGTTAATATATGATCTATTCAGAGAGGGGGTGGCCAAGCTGACCAGGAAGAGGAACCCTTAATGTTCAGAATCCTGGACACGGGAAACCATGACTTCTCCTCCAGCAGCCATTGCAGAACAAAATAGTTTTCCCTCTTGAGTTCTACTTACAGAGAAGTCGGAAGTCTCTGCTTTAGAAATCCATTTGGGGTTTTGCAAAAGGTATATTATCTGGATCTCACTACAATACAAGGGCTGCATCTCAACCTGACTGGTTCTTTAGCCATCATCTCAATAGCAGCGACGGCCACCATTCAGTGACATCTTAGAAAGCACTTGTCCTCAGGCTGTATCACTGGAGCCTCACAACAGCCCCCTTCCATGTGCAGGGACAGGTTTACCCAATATTTATTTATTCAATTACTTGTTTCCATCACTATGAACTCACGGATATTTGTTTTTATTTATTTATTTATTTACATTTTAAAAAATTGGTTCATTTTAGTTTTACACGACCGTAGAATGTATTTTGACATATTATACATACTTGGAGTGTAACTCCCCATTCTGGTGGTTGTACACGATGTAGGGTTACACTGGTCATGCATTCATACAGGAATATGTCCAATCCTTCTACTATCTTTCACATTTCCATCCCTGCTCCCTTCCCTTCATTCCTCTTTAATCCAATGAACTTCTGTTCTTCCCTCCCCCTATTGTGTGTTAGCACCTGCATATCAGAGAACATTTCGGCCTTTGGTTTTTGGGATTGGCTTATTTCACTTAGCATAATAGTCTTTAGTCCCATCCATTCACCAGCAAATGCCTTAATTTCATTCTCCTTTATGGCTGAGTAATATTCCATTATGTATATATACCACATTTTATTTATCCATTCATCTGTTGAAGGGCACCTAGGCTGGTTTCATAGCTTAGCTATTGTGAATTAAGCTGCTGTAAACATTGATGTAGCTGTAAACATTGATGTAGCAGCAGCCCATTGATGTAGCTGCATCACTATATATAGTATGCTGATTTTAAGACCTTTGAGTATATGCTGAGGAATGGGATAACTGTGTTAAATGGTGGTTCCCTTCCAAGTTTTCTGAGGAATCTCCATTTTGCTTTTCAGAGTGGTCGCACCAATTTGCAGCCCCACCAGCCATGTATGAGTGTGCCTTTCCCCCAACATCCTCACCAGCATTTACTGTTACTTGTATTGGACGTTTGTTTTATTCTGGGGGAGCGGGAATCCTTTGATGGAAGAAAGATGGTCTAAATTAGGATGTGAATACTTTCTTTTAGGATTTAAAGGGTTGCAGAGAGGCTGCAGATTTCATATGTGCCATCTCAAAAAGCTGAACACAGATCCAAGCAGAGTGGTCGTGGGGGGACAGACCCCCTCAATTCAAGAAAATCAATGATGAGCTTTGTCAGAGTCCCTAGAGCACACCTCCCCTCCCCTCCAGGCATGGACCCCTGTGTCAAGTTGCAGACGAGTTGGGGCTAACGTTGTGTGCTCTGTCCCTGTAGACTTGAAGGAGGCTGCAACTACGACTACATTGAGGTTTTCGACGGCCCCTCCAGCAGCTCCCTGCTCATTGCCAAAGTGTGTGATGGGGCCACAGGCTCCTTCACGTCCTCCTCGAACTTCTTGTCAGTCCGCTTCATCAGTGATGGCAGCGTCACGCAGAGCGGGTTCCAGGCCGCATTCTACTCCATCCCTTCCAACGACAGCACCAGTAAGTGCCCAGGGGAGTGCAGGGTTAGGAGGGGGGAGGTCCCTGGGAGCCTTCTGCGGCTCAGTTCCCCTCTGGTTGTGAAATAAGAAATTAGAGCAGCCCCAGCAGCCCCCCAGGCTCGATTTCCTGCAGGGAGAGGCCACGTGCAGGAGGTTTTGGGATTCTGGCTGCCTGAATGAGGTCAGCAGTTAGCTCTGACTGATGAGAGGTGGACGGGCCTTAGGCAGTCAGCAGGGACTAAGTAGAAGGCACAAGAGGGTGGTCTCAGCAAATGAGAAGTCAGTGCCCAAGGCAGAGTGACCACTCTGCTGGAAGTTTTGTGACCATCCCGAGTATGAGACACTGGTCATGTCCTGAGACCTAACACATTTGGCTTCTATCTGAAGATGGATGCAGCTGGTCATAGGCACTTCCAGGAAAGGCCATATGGAGCTGATTTAGGATGTTATATGAATTAATGTAAACCTTGCCCAAGGACTAGGCAAGGTGACGTCCAAGGCTTTTTATGTAGTTAGGATTGAAAGCATTGGCTTTCTTCATATCTAAATGACTTTACTCCATGACGTCTCTGCAATTTGACTGTAGTTGCTTTAATTTGTGGGTAATTGGTAACTTGGCAATTCGTTTCCTGCCTGCAACACTCCGTTAGAGAAACCCCAAGTGTCCTCATTGAGCTTTACTGAGGATGGGGCTGGGTGGAGCTCAAGAGCCCTTGGAGGTTGCAGTGAAGCATATTCTGTGCAGGTATCCTACATGCTGACCACCTGGGTCACCATCTTTATCTGTCCACCTGTATCTGGGAAGAGCACCTAGTAGGACTGGAGGGGTTTGGGGGATCTGACCAAGTGCATGATCTTCCCTTGTCCATCAGGTCTGTTCTGTCTGCCGAATCACATGCAAGCCAGTGTGAACAGGGACTACCTCCAGTCCCTGGGCTATTCTGCCGGGGACCTTGTCATTTCTGGATGGAATGGGAACTACAGGTGTCAGCCCCAGATAACTTGGAGCCACGTGATATTCACAATCCCCTACACAGGCTGTGGAACCCTCAAGCACGTAAGCCCGGGGCTGCCTCTGTTTCCTGTTTAGCTGCTTCCTTACAGCGATCAAGTGCTAAGCGTCTTGAACACTGGGAATCCAGAAATGCTATCATAGTATAACCCGAACGTAATCAGAATAAAGGAAGATAGACATCTCTGGTACGTGAAATAGCGGCAACTGCCTCCAAGTAGGAGGAGGAAGCTCCGCAGGTTGTTCCTCCAGCTGTGTCCAACGGGGGCGGGGGGGGGGCACCTGGCAGGCTGTCACTCACATTAGTGATCCCCAGAGCAGCTCCGAGGGGCAGCTCTGGGTTTTGTAGGACCTGAAGCCTATACAGTGTAGGGTTGAGGTGAGTGAGAGCAGCAGGGTTGTCATTGAGCAAAGAATGCAAATATATTTTACTTTCCTAAGTTTTACGAAAACTTAGGAAACACATTGCAAACCCGTTGCTAAGCCTTGGCAGAGGCCTGTGGACTCATTGGCTTCACAATGAATTGGTCTCTGCAGCTATGGTTGTTGAGCTGTCACCATCTAGGGTGACCAGCCATCCTGGATTGTCCAAGACTTTACAGATTTTAGCATAAGATGTTCCTTGTTTCAGGAAACCCCTCAATCCTGGGCAAACTGGGATGGTTGTCCTCCTACGGGTTATAGATTCTGTGGTTTGTCTCTTTCCCCAAATTCTCATTAAGTAGTTTCCTATTGTCATCCACTTTAAAAATGCTGAACACAATTCATATGGCTGATTGTGACAACTGTTGGTACTGAATTATAAAGTAAAAAAAAATTTCCTTTTAGAAAATGGAAAGAGAAAATATGTGCTTCTTGAGCAGATAGATCCATAGAGCTCTTTCCTATGGCTCTTCCCCAGATCTGGGCCCAGAGTGAAGCCTCTCTGGCACCCCCTAACTGGCTTAGATGACTTGCCCCAGGCTCTTGGTCTGGGGAAAAGGAAAGGAACTGATCAGAGAGGAGAGGAAGGGCCGAGAGGTGCCGAGAACCACAATAAGTATCTTCTCAAGCTTTTCTCTTTTCCCATGTTTCACCTGGAAGAGACATATTCAGAGTTCTGCAACTGCAGGCAGGACGTGGCAGATTCTCCAACACATTCCATTCTGAAGGACAATTACATTTGAATATTTGAGCTGCACAGACGCTGGCTTCAGAAGGGACTTTGTTTTTCAGTGTCCCAGCCAGCCAGGAATGGAGTTTTGGCCCTCGATAGGATCATGACTAACACAGAAAACCTCTCTCTCTCTCTGCTTTAGACCTTCTGCTTAGACCATTATTATGTTATTCCCCTGCCCTTTCTTGCAAAAGCACTTGTGGCATGCTGGGAAGTGTAGCATAGGGGACCCGGAGAGATTTACTTCAGACCTGTTCCTCAGGCAGGGAGGAAGTCCTGCAGACTGCAGCCTGGTGATGGTACGCTTGTGCTCACCTTGCTGGGGCCAGATGATCTCGACCATGGAGCTTCTTGGGGACCTTGTCCACCTGTATCCTCTTGGCCATTCAGCTGCCCCTGCTCCACTCATTACAATACTTCTGCTGGGTCTCTGGCTCCTGTTCCTTCCATTCACTCCATAGGTCCCTAGAGATGCTGCTGAAGCTATTGGTGATACACTGCCAAGCCCTGGGGGGAGATAGCCACTCTCTGTAGATGGTGGGCACATGAAATGGCAGGAGGCACCAACATTCTTATGAACATGCTGCTTAGCTGCTTAGTGAAAGGCATGGCAGCAGACGGTCCTGTGGTACAGGTGGGCGGGACAGGAAGGACTCCAGGGTTTCCGGGACCCACTCAGTTGTCCATATGAGCCTCAAAGGAGTCCCAACCTCAGAGGTCAAGAGCTGCGATTCTGGATCTCTGCGGCTTCCAGCTCCCACGGAATCCATCACCACATGGTGGTAGTTACCAATCAACCAAAGCAGAAAGCAGTTAACACCGAGCTCACCGACGTGTGCCCCTCCCCTCAACAAGTATGTGACTATCTTCTCTGAGACCCCAGCAACAGTGAGCATGGAGCAGAACTTTCTGTTCTGAGCCCTAAGCCGTGGAATCCAGGCCGACTTGGCTAGTTGCATGGCAGGTCAAGGTACCATCCAGACACGCCCATTGTGCCATGAGGAGGAGCTCCAAGAGGTGCCAACCACTGGCCCACACTGAGATCCCCATCATGTGGCAGGGGAAGCAGGGATTGTGCAGGGAGGGGGTCTTGCTCGTTGAGCCGGACATCCAGCCCTGGTGAAAGTCACCGTGGCAGTAGGCATGTGCCATCTCTGTGGCTGTGGAAGGGTTTGACATCTCATTGTCACTGCCTTCTCATTCTAACCCTGAAAATCAGCAATGAGATTCCCTTGGCAGGTGACACATGCCTGACTCTGCTCTCCGACATGCCTCTCCTAGGTAGACAATGACACCATCAACTATTCCAACGTCCTCAAAGCAGCTGTGACAAATGGCATCATCAAAAGGAAGAAGGACCTCCTCATTCATGTCAGCTGCAAGATGCTGCAGAACACCTGGGTCCACACCATGTACATCACCAACGACACCATCCAGGTCAAGGAAGTGCAGTACGGCAACTTCGACGTGAACATTTCCTTCTACACATCCCCCTCTTTCTCCTACCCTGTGACCAGCAGCCCGTACTTAGTGGATCTGGACCAGAGTCTGTACCTTCAGGCTGAGATCCTGCATTCGGACGCCTCGCTGGCCTTGTTTGTGGACACCTGTGTGGCTTCTCCAAACCCCAACGACTTCTCATCTCTGACTTACGTTCTCATCCGAAGTGGGTAAGGGCTGTCTTTCTGGGCAAGATTTAACCCTTTGCCTGAAAAGTCAAACAATGAGTAGCCCTGAAGCTTTGAGGACTCCAGATTTTGGTTAACCAGAGTTCTTAGGAGTTCAAGTGCAGACGATCCATGCTGTATGCAGTCACATCATGTGGCTTTTACCCTTGAGGTGCTTTTGTGCTGTGTCCTGGGCCACATCCTGACCTGCCCCATCTCCTGCTTACATGTTAGAATGGAAGAACCCACCAGTGGTCAGGTTGGCTGTCAACTGGGATTAAGCCCCAGGTGACCCAACTCTAGCCTTAGGGTTAGAAAGCCCTACAAGCAGTGGGGAAATCATTGGATGTGGAGCAGACCAAGGTGGAAGTATGTGCCTCTGGGCCAGTTTCCTCATCTGTCAACTGGGGACGGTGACGTTCACATCAGAAGGCTACTGGGAGGACTACATGGAAAAGAGTGGATGGGCTCCTAGCATAGAGTGGGCCCAGCAGGTGGTCCACAGAATTGTTACACCAGAGGCAGCGGGAGGTCCTCGTGACCTCCCTTAGCCCGGGAAGTTCTGCGGTCCAGCTCAGGGAGATCTGCTCTCCTGTGCTCCAGCTTCCCGGCATGAGGCGTGCTGGAGCTGGGGTTGACTCCTCTGCACTCCTGCAGGGCTCCCAACCAATCCCCATTCGGTAGTCTCTGCTGGCGGATGGCATGGCACCTCTTGGCTTACACCTCATAGCCATTGCTTCCAAGAGAAGTTACGCTAACAGGGTAAGGGGTGCAGCTAGGCATCTCATTTCCCTGAGGTCCTAAGACACATCTCTTTCCGGGCACAATTTGAACACATGTCAGTTCAGTAAACAGAAATTGAAGCTTGTCTTTTCATAGCCACCCCCTCAGTAGCAAAGATGGGGAGAAGGCTTACCCAGAACCCCATTCCTCAAATAGTAACAAAGTGGCATTTCAAGTGGTGTAAAGTGGTCAAAATTCATGCAATTGATGAGTGATTCAGTTTCCCCTGGCCAAAGGATTCTTGTCTGTGGTGACATTCTGCCATATATGTGATTGATGGAGTATGACTGGAGAATGGAGGGCTGCACTTGGGGGAGAGTGTCCCCAATGGGTCTGGAGCACAGGAGTCACCCGGCCCTCAACCACATCATCCACCTGTAGGCCCATGAGAATTAACTGGGCTCAGACTTTTCCTGTCCACACACATTCTCCTTATTTGGTCACACTTGGTATCTTGCATTTTCATTTTATTTTAAATTTTGTTCTTGTATTTTAAACAATTTCCCCAGGTGATTCTGAAGAGCAGCCTGGGCTCTGCAGCTCTGGCCCCCACAGAGCCCCTGACTGGCAGGGTTTTATGGGAAATGCAGTCATTGGCCTAGCAGCTCCCAGGTTACCCTGACCTTCCACAAACGTCCCACCTCTGAATGGACCCCTGGGTATTTTCTCTCACCCTGGTGGCTAAGGGGGCTGCTGTGGAAACCGAAATCTGGGTGTCTGAGACCAGCTGAGTTGAAAACAGAGGTAGGAAGAAAGCTCTGGAAGTGGAAATAGGAGGGTAAGCAGACGCAGGGTCAGGACTTCAGGACAGCCTGGCTGCTCTGTCACCAGCCCAGGCCAGCTTTCCTTGCCTCTTCTCTCTTGCCCCATCACATGGTACCAGCGAGATGCTTCCTCACCCATTTCTTAGCAAAGTTCCTTAGGCAAAGACTCAGGTTGCTTTCCTTCCAGCACCAACCAGCTGGGAGGAGGCGCCTGGGGGGTCAGGAAGTGCTTGATCCTGGAGGAGGGTCCTGGAGCTACTCAGGCCAGTGTGGAAAGCATAGCTACATGGGTCCCAGTGGCTCAGGAGGAGCAGACCCTGGGAGTGGGGGGGCCAGGCAGGTCAGGGAATGTCAGCAGTACCCAGAGTGCAGCCCAGTGTCACCTTGCAGGGCCCTGCAACCAGAAGAGGGATGAAGTCATTTTCTTTCCTGGCCTATCTCTGACCTGCTTATGGGCTCCACATTTGAGCCATTTCCCTGGCTTATCCAGCTTGTAGGGGGCCATGGAGCACATGGTCATTGGGACTGGGCTTTACCACACTGGGCACTGTGGGGCTTGCTTGTCTATCTGGAAACTCCAGGGGTATTTTCTAGTTAAAGATGCTGGAGATGTACCAGAGCCACCGGGATCCGTCTGCACGCCTCTCAGTGAGGGGACACTGGAGGCCTGGGCTTCTGGGAGTTCTGCTCCTGGTGCAACTGAGTCAGGATGAATCCCGGGCCCTGGTGAGAGCTAACAAGTTTCTTTTCTCTTCTCCCAGGTGTGTAAGGGATGAAACCTACCAAACCTACTACTCGCCATCACCCCGCATCACCCGCTTCAAATTCAGTTCCTTCCACTTCCTGAACCGCTTCCCCACAGTGTACCTGCAGTGTAAACTGGTGGTGTGCAGAGCGTACGACTACTCTTCGCGCTGCTACAGAGGCTGCGTGGTGAGATCCAAGAGGGATGTGGGCTCCTACCAGGAAAAGGTGGATGTCGTCCTGGGACCCATCCAGCTGCAGCCCCCTACCAAAGAGAAGAACCAGCCACCCTCAGACTCCACTTCCAACCAGCGCCCAAGGCCGTGACTCCCCAGGACTTGGGAAGCTTCTGCCGGTTCCCACTCAAATTGAGCACCTATTATGTGCCAGGCACTGTGCTATGCCTGGCCACACAGAGTAGAATTAGACCTGGTTGCTATCTTCCCCCAGGGCTCTAGGTCTCTGGGGCCCATGTGTAGGGCTTGGGCAGAGTTCTGGCCTGGAAACAGACAGACCTGGCCCCTGTCTCTTCTGGGTCTGAACTGCCAGAACGCACACTTCTCATCTGTAAAGTGAAAATGCTAGCACGTCTCTTAGGACTGTTGAGAGGGTTCAATAAAGTAATGTTAATCAAACTGCCTTGGCCCCTGCTTGGTGTGAGTCGCTGAGTGCTGGGTGAACAGTAGTTTTTGTGATGATTACCACTGTTACCCAGAGGAACAGCGTTAGTGACAATCTCATTCCTCCTGATGATAATAATGTAACACTGGGTGTGTTGAAATCAGGTCTGGGCAGCTGTGGAGACACAGCAGCAGGGCTTCGTAGGGACTGCTGGCAGGGTGTGGCACTGCACAAGCCAGATCCTGTTCCCCCCTAGAGCAGGGAGTACAGTCTCTGCCCTGCTGTTTGGTCAGGGGGGTGGATGAAGCAGGGCTCGCTGCGGGCTTCTCAGGATATCTTCCCAGATTGGAGACAGGTCAGCAGATGTGCTGGCCGTGGTGACAGGGGCAGGAGTGGGGCAGTAATGGCCACGAATCCTCTTCACGATCAGCGTGCCCACCTTGGGTGGGTGTCTGACAGCTCCTCCTCTTCCTGCCCTGGGTTAAGCCCATCCCCGTGGCCCGCTGGTTCTAGACTCTTTCCTTACTTATTCATTCAGTGCATTTATCTACTGAAGGCCTACTGTGTGCCAGGAGGCAAGAAAATAAACAGATAAAGATTAAAATGTTACACTCCAGTGGGGCAAGATGCAATCACCTGACGGGGTTGGAGCTACGGAGATGAGCGGGGCAGGAGGGGCTGGGCCGGGCCAGCTCTCCTCTTACTCGACTCCAGCAGCCACCGCAGTGGGGCAGGTTCTGTCTGCCTCTTGCCTGGGACTCTTGCAACCATTCCGAAAATACCCCACCCCCTCCCCTCCGGTCTTGTTCTCCCAAAGCCCAGCTCTCAGTTCCTACCCCAAACCCCTTCCCTGACTCCGTGGCTAACAAGACTATGCGAAATAAATCTCTCAGCCTGAACTCAACGGCCATCTGGGGCGTGGCCTCGGCTTCCCCTTGGCAACTTCCTTGATTTCTCTACCCTTCCCACAGAACAGCTCTAGGGGGTCACCGCCCTGCCTTGCCTGCCCTCTCCGGGTCCTCTAGGCTCCATCCAGGTCCCCACTCTCCCCAGACCCGGCAGAGGCGGATGTAGAGAAGCTGGCCACTCCCGGGGTGCTGTCACAGCACGGCCGTCCTCGAGGGGGTCGCCCTAGCTGGCTGTGGCAGGTCGTGCTGGGGAGGATGAAGTGACCTCAGAGCCACCCTTGGAGCACTAGGACGCAAGCCAGAGCTCGCTCAGACGAGGGCCCGTGACCTCAGGCACCCAGAGAGGCTGCAAGGAGTGAGGTGCCCAGCTTGGTGCCCAGCAGCATTCTGACCCCGGGGGCAGGGTGAGGTGGCAGTGAAGAAAGGCAGGAGTCAGGGCTTTCCCAGATCCACAGGCTCAGGCTGGGCAGAATGTCACAGAAGAATGGTGCCAACGGCTACACCTACGTGCCGCTGTGAGCCAAAACCTAGGGGCAGCAGAACCCTCTCTAGATAGAAACCCTTGTCTGGTCTTTCATTAATCAGCTCCTTGGACGACAGTACAAGTCTCGACTTTCCGCACGATAGGGCAAACTGAACAAAATATCCCTTTGTAAGCAAGTGAGTGTCCGCTTGGTCAGAGTTTCCAGAGGCTCACCTGCATACTGGACCTCTCGACTGGACCCTGTCAGCAGGAACAGCAAAGGGCTTCCAGAACCCTCCAGGGAATGGATAGTGTGTCCTCCCCGTGTGGCCTGTTTGGGATCTGTCCAGAGCAGGATATGAAGGATGAAGACCAGAAAAAGACAAGAATGCTGCCACACCGTGATTCTTCGTGCTTGTGACTTAAAATCAAACATGACTGCTCCATTCCTCCAGGAGACTGCATCTCTCTGTTTGTGACACTGTGTCCACACTGTGGGCTATAGAGGGTTGGGGAGTGGGCATGCAAACCCCGAGGGCCCCTAGGAGAGGAGTCTTGCTTGCACAACGTCTCCAGGGAGAATGGGGTTGACAGGTGACCCCAGAAGCTCAGAAGAGACGGATGGGTTCCAAGGCGGCAGTGAATCTGCTGGAAGGCAGAAGAGAAGGCAGACCCCAGGCCCTTAGCTGGACTCCACAGGAATGGGAACGTTTGTGTACCGTGCTGGCATCCACCCCTGGACCAGGCTCAGGACCCCTCCCCAGAGAGGGAGCTTCTCGGACAAGCCTAACTCTGTACTGTGACTTGAGTGGGGTGAAGCCCAGTAGGTCAGCAGCTGCTGGGGATACTCCAGGACAAAGGGACAGCTCTGCAGCTCTGACCGGTGCTGACTGAGAGCTGCCCACCAGCTCTCTGTGGGCTGCAGGGTGAGCTCCTGAACCTTTCTAGGGAGCAGAGGAGCTAGGGGGCGGGTTTTGCCAGTGTCCTTCTCCTGGCCATCCCTGCCCATACCCCACTTGCCCTCCCAGGTGATCCAGAAGAGACTGGAGGTCAGGCTGTGGGGCCAGCCTGTCATGGAACTCAGTGGCAATGCAGTGAAAGGCAGGCACCTGCCCAGGCAGCCGCCTTGGGAAAGCCCTCAGAAAGCGAATTCTATGTGTTTGGAAATCTTAAAGGCCAGCTGATAAACAGCTGTTACTAAGAATTCCGTTGTAGAGACTTACAATTTAGTGAACCATGTTAGGAACAAAGGTCTATTCACCACTTCCTCGTTCTTTGGCTTCATATGACTTCCATCATTGCCTAAGGTTATTTGCATGTATCGTCTCTGTCTGCTGGAAAGACTACCTAGTGCTAAGTGACAGCCCATCTAGTCCCAGCTCCACATACAGTAGTGCCATATTGTTAGCATAAAATGGCCATCGTGGGGGGGACATGCAACGAATGGAAATCATGCTCCAAACCAGGGCTCTATCATTCCCAGAAGTTGTTGGTCAGCATTTCCCAACGTGCCACGGCCCACAGCTCATCCATTAGGGATCCACACACTAGGAGAGCTGGGAAAAACTCTCTGCTGGGCTGCCACTATGTTCAAACTTCCTCCATGAGCATTACCTCCTGTGAAGGGCATCTTATTTGAGTAGGTGTAAAATCTAAGGTTACTTGGGCCAGGAGAGGTCTTGGCAAGTTCCATCAGGCTCTGAGGAAAGCAAGACCCCACAAAGCCCAGGTGGACCATGGTTGTGCGCCCGTGAGGAGGGGCAAGCTGCCCATGGGCAGGAGAGGGACAAGGCATGCACCAGGAGCCCCGAGGAGGGGCTGTGCCATGAAGATATTGAGGCCTGGCCCTCTCTTCCCCACCCTGAGCTCAGCACCAAATTCCCTCTCGGGCCCCTCTTCGCCATGCAGGAGTCTGAAGCCCCTCAATCCTAACTCAGATCTCTGGCCTGAGGCCACTGGCAGGTGACAGTTCTGTTTGTCCTGGAACTCCTGGCCAGGAGCCATATTTTTGTGTCTATGACCTGAAGTGAGGACCAGAATCCCTGCAGATCAGACACAAAAATGGTACCACAGGATCCCCTGGAGGTTAAACCTCCAAGAGTGAGCCACGGAGCCTGTGGGGCACTATGGCCTCTGGCAACTGGAGCGCCCAGCCAGGGCAGCTGCTCAGGAGGAAAAGGAGGGCCCAAAGCACACACAGCAAGAGCACTGTGTGGAGATGAGGCTCATGCCATGGGGCTAAGATTCTTGAAGAGTAGGCAGTCAACAGAGGGGTGGAAAATTTCAAAATTTGCCGCATCCTCATTTGTAGCCTATGGGGAGCTCTTCAGGTCAAGAGAGCCTTAACTGGTCGACTCCCACCAGACTGTCCCGTGATCCAATGCCGTCAGAATCTCCCCTCAACCCATCTGCTTCCACCGCTTGCACCCATTATAGGCTTTGGGGGCGGGGATTATAGGGGGCAAAGGTGAAGAAAACTCGCCTCTTGATGCTTGTCCTCTGTGGCTACCTAAGTGAAAGAGGACCAAGGTGCCTGAGGTGCCAATGGGGAGTGCCAACCTCAGGGGTGGGGGTGGGCTGTAGACTGAAATGTCAGGAGCTCACAGGGAACATGGGATCAGAAGACTCTTAGGACAGAGACCTTCACATGTCACCTTCCTCCCCTGTGGGTATCACTGGTGAGATGTTAGGAGAGGAGTGGAGTGGGTGGGAGGGACCAGGAAGCTGCTGGACATTTGGCCCTATAAAATCACAGGGAGGCTCTCATATAGGGTTGTTAGGGGTTTGTGCTTGACTCAGTCAGTGTCTGGGTTGTTTTAATTATTTTGATTCCTAGGGAGGCATTCTCAGATGGGACTAGGAATTGCAAAAGCATGTGAGCCTTAGTGTGTGTGTGTGTGTGTGCGCGCGCGCACGTGCGTGTGGGTTATGAATTGGTGAATTCCTTTGTTTGGGCTGCCATACAAATATCATAGATTGGGCAATTTAAACCACATAAATTCAGAAGTCCAGGTTCTCTGTGTGCATCTCTATCTTAATCTCCTCTTCTTGTGAAGTCCCATTAGGTATGGGGCCCTCCTAATATCTCCTTTAACCTTAATTACCTCTTTAAAGACTCTGTCTCCAAATACAGTCATATTGTGAGATACTTTGAATTAGGATTTCAGCATATGTATCTTGGCAGAGTGGGGCTCCGTGCAGCCCATAACAACTGGAAAATGTCTTCTAACATCACTTGCAGAGCTGTTAGGAACATTTGTGACTCACTGTGTTCAATGCAGGCAGTGATGGCAGTTTTTGACCTCCAGGAGAAATGGAAGAGAATTGTCTCAGAGGCCAAGGGCACCCTGAGGGCTGGGAGCTCTAGGACTCTGTCCTAAGATGCTGTCCAAAACCAGGCCTTGGGCTTGTCTTTGAATATTTCTCACCATCATATATAGGTCTATAAACATGTGCCTTCTTCTTCCTGTAACATGGAGGGGAAAACCAACATCATCCCTGGAGATAAAGGATGCTGAACTGAGGTGTTGCTGTTTGAGTAAAATATAAAGATGGTGCAAGGGAATTAAAAAAGGCTGAACTGTATCAGAAAGTAGTTTTCAAACTTTAGCCTCCAGTGGGGAGCTTCTTCTGGCAGCCTGGC